AAAGCAAAATAGGAAAAAAAGGATAGAAATGATACAGAATTTCAAAAAAGGGAAAAAACAGGGAACACTAGTTAAATTATTGCATATTGTTATCTCAGAACTAGTTGTTCAAGGTACAAAATCCAGAAACAAAAGTGATCAAACAATGAAAGCTCTAGTTTTTAAAATGAATATCATTTATCAGATGGAACAAATTTGCTTCTACTCTTAGTTTTCTGAGTACTTCTACAATGTAGGTGTGCTGAACATTGCCGAATAACTTTTCTGTGCAGATTAAGATAATTACTTGCTTTTTGTCTTTTGTTTATATGATACATTATATTGATTTTTGATGCCTGTTAAACCAATTTTACATTTAAATGGGATAAATCCCATTTGGTCATGATATGTAATCCTTTTATATATAGCTAGATTCAGTTTACTAGTTTTCAATGAGGATTTTAGTATCCATGTTCATAAGAAATATTGCTATGCAGTTTACTTCATTGTGATGCCCTTATTTTGTTATGGAATTACGGTACTATTAGTTTCAAAAAATGAGTTACAAAGGGTTCCTCCTCTCCTCTATTTTTGGGAGAGTTGATGAAGAGTGTAAATACTAATTCTTCTTTAATTGGGGGAGGGGGTAGAAATTACCAAGGAAACCATCTGTGTCCGAACTTTTCTTCATGAGTATTTTAGGATTTACTAAGTCAGTCTTGTTAAAAATGTCTTCAGATGTTCTATTTTTTCTATTTGTTTTGGTAGTTTATAACTTCTAGATATTTGTCCATTCCATCTGTGTCATCTACTTTTTGGCATATACTGTTTACAGTATTTCTTATAATTTATTTCTGTAAATTTAGTAGTAATGTCCCTTCATTCTTGATATTAATAATTTAGGTCCAACTTTTTTTTGGTCATTCGGGCTAAAGATTTGTCTATTTTGTTGAAATTTTCAAAGCACCAACTTTTAGTAATACTATTGATTTTTCTGTATTGTTTTTTCTATTCTCTGTTTTGCTCATTTGTGACCCAATCTTTACAGCTCCCTTCCACTTGCTTTGAGTTTTGTTTACTCTTATTTTCCCCCTGCAGTAAGGAAGTAGGTTATGTTTTTAAGATCTTTCTGCTAAAAAAAGTTGGTGTTTATAAATTGATCAGTTTCAGCTGCATCTTGTAATTCGAGGTATATTTGCCTTTTCATTCATCTCAAAGTATTTTGTAGCTTCCTTGCAACTTCTTTTCCTCATTGATTATTTAGGAATATGTTTTTAATTTCCACATATTCTCCTATTTTCTATCATTAATTTCTGATTTCTCAAATTATAAACCAGAGAATTTACATTTTATGGCTTCAAACGTTTCAAGTTTACTAAGGTTTGTTTTGTGGCACAGCATATGTATGACCTATCTTTGAGAATATCCCATGTGTGAACTTTAAAAGAATGTATATTTTGGTGTTGGATAGAGTATTTTGTAGGTGTCTAGTAGGCCTAATTCAATTATTATTGAATTATTATTATTCAATTATTATTCTGTCTTCAGTTCCCAAACTGGTCCTCTAGGGTTGTTCTATCATCAACAAAAGTGAGGTATTGATTATACTTATTATTCTTATTTGAGTAGTAAATATTCTTGAGTAGTTAATTTTCTCTTGTTACTTGAGTAGTGAATAATGCAACCTACATCAGTGTCACACTGCATCCCAATATAACTATGTATCAAAGGAAAACAAACTTAAAAATAAAGTGGGCTATAAAAGTCTTCAATTATTTTTTGTTGAATTATATTTGACCCTCAGTTTTGGCCATTTCTGTTTCATGTATTTGGAGATTCTGTTGACAGGTGAATATATATTTTAATTGGTACATGTGCCTATAATCTTTTTACCGTTGTAAAATTGGTCCTCTAATATCTGTTTTTGTTTTAAAGTCCAATTCATTTTCTATTAATTCAGTCACTCCAGCTAATTGCAAATCTTTTTCCTTCCTTTTTCTTCTAACTTACTTTTAATCTGTGGTGTATCTTTATAAACAGCATATAGATATATTTTTAATCCACTCTGACAACCCAGATTACTTTGTTTCCATTGGATTGTTTAATCCACTAATACTTATTGTCATTATGGATATAGTTGAAACCACTGATCCTCACATATCATTTTCTTTTTGTCCAGTCCTTATTTTTTTATTGGTCTGCAAATCTGCTTCAAATATATTTCTTATATGTAGGTAATATCTTTTATGAATTCTTGAATGTTTAAAAGTATTTGCTTTCTATCTTTATGCAAAAACAACAGTCCCGGAAGTCAGAGGATCCTGGAGTCCCTACCCTTCCTCCACACTCTGTAACCCCTGTGCTTTCCCAGTCAGTTTGCAGGAGAACAATGCATGCCATTCCATTTTTCATTCCTACCTATCAGATTTGAGTATTTTCTTTTTGTACTAGGATTTAGAAAAAATATACAATGTATGTCTCAATGCAGATCTTTCCATTGATCCTAGGTACTTCACACACACACACTTTTTTTTTCCTTTTTCTTTTTTGTGGTACCAGGAGATTGAACCAAGGCCTTCACACTGAGATACACCCCTATCCTTTTTTAAATTTTGAGACAGGCTCTCATTAAATTGCCCAGGCTTGGCTTCAACTTTAAACTTGCGATCCTCTACCTCAACCTCCCAGAGTGCTGGTATTACAGGCATGCACCACCATGCCTGGCCTTTTATTTTGAGGCAGGTTTCTTGCTAAGTCTCTTGGTAAATTTCCCAAACTGCCCTCCAATTTGCAATCCTCCTGTCTTCACCTCCCAGAGGGCTGGGATTATAGGCAGGTGTCACCACACACAACAGGGAACACTTCTGACATAAAAATTTAAGTATTCAGATCAAGCAAATTTTCTTGTATTTTTTCTTCTATGATGTATTTCTGGAATTTCTTTTACATAGATACTGAATTATTTGATCTAGTGTCATATCTTTGTCTTTCGTGATTTTTGTCCTTTTTTAACGAAGGACTAGAGGTTTCTTGGTAAAGACTTAATTCATTGAGTGTTATTCAATTGTCTTTCAATCATGCTTTCAATCTCCAGAAATTTTTGTTTCTTTGTTAGCACCCTTTCACAGCCTTCTGGTTTTTTTTTTTTTTTTAATCATTGCCTCATCCTCTTAAATTTTGCTGCAGTAACTTGGCTTCCCAATGTGTTACTTGTTCTGAGTCCTTATAGTAGCTTCCCATACTATCTCATAGTGATGAATTTCTTCAAGTGGCTGGAGACTCTTCATAGAAACAAGGTCATGATAGGTCAGTAAGTAGGTAAGAGTGGACCTTATTAACAACCCCTCGTAGTGATGGCTTATGTGACCAAAAAAGAAAGAAATCTTGTATTTCTCATCATAGGATCATTTAACTGATCTCATTTGCAGAAACATACCCTTTAGTGTACTGCGTAGGCTCATCTTCATTTGTGACAAACCTCCTCTATTTGGTAATTCCCCACCTTAGTTTACAACACATCCCTTTCTACTCAGCTTCCTGGTGGCCTTAATCAGAATATAGAGTCCTGTGTCTACACTCCAGGAAGCGCTGTGAATCCCCACTCCTAAGAACTATGCCAGTGGCTGTAAGTTCAGTACGCATCCTTCTGATCCCTCTGCCTTTACTTACTGGTCTTTGTCTCTAGCCTTTCATTGATTAACAGATGGCACGGGGTTGAGAGGCTGGAGCTGAGGGAATCCTCTTAAAACTCTTTTGGCAAGGATTTCATCAAAGCAACAATCAGGTGGGCCATTGCCTCTCCCGACAGCAAGCAATTCACTGAACTCTTTTGAGTTTTAGTGTGGAAGGACTCGACCTCTACCTCGAGTTGCTTACAGCATTTCTCATTTTTAAGCTAAGACACTTGAAAAAGATACTGGAAGAAAGAATCAGGCACACGGCTTCATACTGTCATCTGATCTATAAAATCCTTTTCTCCAGCTTATGTTTTTGTAGTCCTATCAGAGAGGAAAGCCTAAATCTTAAAAACCAAACTGATACCAGACCTTCTTCCCATTACCAAGTTAACTACTACTAATGGCTAATATTCTTGTTTTTCTAATTGACCTATATAAAGCAGAAAAATACTAATGTTTCTCTGTGAATAGTGTGGGTCAATGAGGATATTTAATTAATGTATTTCTTTCCACTTGATTCTAGGCTATATAAAGCTGAAGAACGTTATTTTGCTTAACAATGTATTCTTAGTGCCTAGCATATATACTGGCTGACACACATTGGTACACATCTGTAATCCTAGGTACTGGGGAGGCTGAGGCAGAAGGATCCCAAGGCCAGCCTGGGTAACTTAGCAAGACCTTGTCTTAAAATATAAATAAATTAATAAATAGTAAAGCATTTTTAAAGGACTAGGGATATGGCTCAGTGTTACAGTACTGGAAAAAGAAAACAAAAGAAAAAACAAAACCCTGGGCAGACTGATGGGATCTACCATGAACTGTAGAGCTGCAGCTGTAACTGCAGTTCTGTGTTTTGGCTGTAGGAATAAGGGGTGAATTCACTGAGGACCCTTAGTTTCTAAGGGCACCGAGCCTTGGGTCAAAGAACAATGACCTCTTCCTCCTGCCCTGACAGGCCATAGAAAACACACTTAGAACCTCAGCTGGTTGAGAGCCACCCCGAAGGTGACCTAAGACGCAGAGGTGCATACATAGTCATAGTTGTAACCAATACTGTAGATCAGGGGTATGTGGAATTAAAGAGAAACTTGGTAGGAGAGCTGAAGAGGGGATTGACCTGCTCACAGAATCAAGAAGGGATTTTCTGCACTTGAGATGAATACAGATCCACTGGGTGATGAAAATCCTTCTATCCATACTTTCAGTCCTTCTCCCCCCACCCCCTTCCTACTCTTTTCAACCTCTTCTTGGAATCTTGGAAAGTGATAAAATTGTTGTCAAACGAAACATATATTAAGGGACAGGCTATGCTGCTGAAAGGAAGCCCCAGTGACAGGCAGCTTAAATATAATAATTGGCTTTTATTTCCCTCCAAGTGGGCCCACAGCTGAGCAGTCCAGAGCTGCAGGATGGCTTTGCCTCCCGTGACACGTATCTTCTGTTTCTGGATCCAAGGCAGCTGCTCCAGGTATTGCCAATTTACAGCCAGCAAAAAAAGGAGAAGAGATGAAGGAGAGGGCAAAATGCTGCTTTTTGAAGATATGATTTGGAAGTTGCATATATCACTTCTTTTTTCACTCTTGTGGTCAGAATTTATTCATGTGACCATACCAACCTGGACAGAGTCTGGGCAATGCAGCTTCTGGCTGAGTAGGAAAGAATGGATTATGAGGACAATTACAAGTTCAAAGGCAGAAGACAATGTCGTTAATCCAGAGAAATCAACGTCTCTCAATTTCTGTTCACAGTGCCTAAGCGTTGACAGAAGTTCCTATTTCATGGACCACAGCGAGGAAACTGATGGTCCGACCAGTTCTAAACCACAGTGTTTCCCCCAAACTCCAGCCATTTTAGACTGCATTTTAAAACCATATTTATCACCCATTTCCCATGCAAAATTATATCACAGCCCTTTTATACTAGAGCTCCACAGCCCTTTCCTGACCTCATCAGCAGTTCTACGTGCCTCCTGCAGATTCTCCCGACTTATTCACCAGCTTGTCTGTTAATTAACAGGAAATACACTCTAGATTTAAATACTGCAAGTATTAGACTACCTTAAACCAGAACTATCAGAACCATCCAGAGAACTTAACAATATGCAATCATCCAACCTTACCTGACACGAACTGAATCAGACTCTCTAGAAGAGTATTATCTTCTAAAAATTTCCAAGGGGATTCTAATATATAAAAGGAAAGAAATCCAGTGCTTCCACATTCAGAATGCCACTAACCTTCCACAGAAGTCAGAAAAGGATGGTTCCTTCCTACCTCAGAACAGACTGGGCCAGTGTGGGCACTGGCTGGGAAGAGGTAGTTCATCTCATAAACCTAAGGAAGGCAAGAGGGATTTGTTTTCTTCAACAGGTCAACAAGACAGAAGAAGATGTAGATTTTCCCCCTTAAGGTCAATATCCTAACTCCTGCCTAAAGATCCAATCATATGAATTTTTCAATATTGTACAAAGGTGGGCCACTGTGTTCTGTGGCCCTTGTTCATCCAGTCATCTTGGATGAAGATTAGGGGAACCATAATCACTAATCTAATTAATACCAAGCAACAAAATTTCTCTAAATTCGTTAAATATATGAAACAGAGACACAAAAACTGTTAAACAGCTTAACCAGGTCATAAAGTGATAAAGCTGGGATCTGAACCCAGGAGTCTGGTTCCAAAATCTGTGACAAACCATTGCCCCAGAACATTTCTACTGCTGGAAGGGAGTAGTCATTTCCACTTCCATGACTTGAAGCCAGAAAGAAGGTAATATTGGATCAGATGGAACAAAGATCAATAGAATATCAGAATGTACTGGGAAACCTCTACTCTATCTCCCAAGAAGGTTCTAAAGAAACAGGTAGAGGATCAAGTCCTCTAGTCCTCTCACCCAGCTGCTCCCCAGGTAATTCTACGCTGCCACCTAGAATATCTGCAGTAGCCTGCTTTCTGAGAGTCCTGCAGGGAGACAGGGAGCTGCCTTCCTTATCCTCCTCTGTGCCCAGGATAGTTCATTAAACACAGTCCACCCAACTGTGGACATAGGGACTTCCCCTGCTCTCACTGGGCAGGGATAGTCCAGCCCCTGATATATGGATGGAAGCAATGCCAGAGATGGGCTCTGTGCCCTCAGCTTACAGGGAAAGACTGGCTGCAGAAGCCCATTATCCCTGACACACAGGCTCAGAAGGAACACAGGTTCAGAGAACACAAGAGTGGTTGTTAAGTAGAAAGTACCATGCATGACACCCGTTTGTTATTCCGTTTCTGCACTGTCATTCTGACAAGCTTGGCCTGACAAAGGGGCATTAATTTTTCATGCTGCCCTGCTGCAGACACACAGAATGGTTTGGAGCAATGATAAATGAAATGCAAATGTGGCTGGCACCCAGTGCTGAGGAGCTGAGGATACAGGTCACATCACACTCCTGCCTCATCCTTCTGCCCCATTACACTACCAGTCGCTGCTTTACATTTGCTCCCGTGGCTCCATGAAGCAAGAGGTGACTGCCGAGGAAAGGGAATACGGTATCCTCAGTTGGTAGCAAGAAAGTTGATTAAGAAAAATTCACTCCCCCAATAAGGTTTCTAATCTCTTGTTTATCTTCATTTAGACTATCCTAGATAGATGTGTTTTAATTGCAAGGCACTTCCATTCTTTTTCTGGAAACAGGCAGGGCATACATTATAAAATAAATAAATGATTAAGAAACATCTAATTATTGTTATTAGTTGCTTACTTGAAGGTACTTCCAAGCTGCTTCTTATTAAAGTCATTCATCATGGAGCCACCGTGCCCTTTCCAGAGGCACTGTTCCCAGGGCCAGAGCGGGACTTGCTGTCTCCCACAGCATGAGATGCTTAATAAACACGGGCAATATTGATGGCTGTGAATTCCTCCCTCAGTCTAAACTCCAGCATGATGGATTGATGTTTCCTAAACATGGAGAATATTTCTCTGGCCATTCATCAGCCCTACCACAAATACAGGTGTCAGCCTGAGTAGACGTCAGACCCTAACTGCTTCCTCCAGAGCATACGTAGAGAAGCCTGCATTTCCCACACAGGGACCTCATCAATTTTTCATGCACTGCAGTCCCTAGGCTTATTAAATATTTATAACAATATCATTATTTACCAAACAAGTTACCAGCCTACAACAGAGCCCCCAGAGCAAGACTCGCACGTGTATAGAGCAGAGCTCTCCCTTCAGCCCCTCTCCCTCTGGAGAACCTCGGGGCACAGGTGATTGGACCTAGCAGAAAATTTCTGTGCCTTCCCCTCAAATGTCTTCTGAGGTCTCTCCAAGGCTTTGGTAAAGGGCACTGCAGAGCCAAAGGGGCTTACTCTGATGGAGACTCAGACACCATGAGACAAGGGTGTCATCCAACAGGGGACCCATTACGGCCACCCAGATTGTCATATTAACATCACCCTTCCCCTGTTGCCTAAGTCACTCTTTTCTCTGATTCCATGGTCAGGAGCACTGATGTTGTAGGTAATGGCAGATTATAAACCTCCAGGCAATAGACAAAGAACCTCATCCACTCCACACAGATTTATTGAACATCAGCAGGTGCAGGGCAGGACATTGCCTCAAAAGCTGCAGACCACGCAATGTGGCAGACACCATGGCTGCCTCCTGGACATTTTCCAAAGTGCTTTCTATGCCTCGCTCTACTCCACCGTCACCCCAGATGGGAACGCCAGATACTGCCTTTACTTTCTTTGTCATTTGGTCACAGGCTGGTGACCCAGATCCTTCTGAATGGGATCTGGGGAAGGCTTTCAGAGTGGAGATGGTTCGGTATAATGCTTAATTTTCTGCTTAAAGGAGACATAGGTGGAAGAAGATAACATTCTCTTAAGGTGATGTCACAGATGCACAACTGTAGTAGCTATGGAAGAGTAAGTCTGAGGACAATACTGAACATGCTGAGAATAGCAGAGAGTAGTGTTGGCTGATGATATCACTGAGGTAGACAGCCCACGCTGGAGCTGCCCAGCCCCTGAACTCCCCATTAAGTCAGCTTTAAAGTATCCCTCCATCATTAGAATGACGCAGTAATAAACATTGTTGCTGGCAAGATCCACACTGATCGATGCTAGAATTAGTGAGCCTAGTGTTCAAGAAAAACAGAATATTTATGGTCTGAAAAAGTATACCCACAAAGATAGATAATAACTATGAAAAAATAATTTACAGTGAGTGGTAAAACCCACCTTCACCAAATGATCAAGGTTAATATCACCAGTAATAAGACTCCTTACTCCCCATGAAGCATGGAGAAAAGCATATTGCTTTTGTGGTTTTCTTGCCAAAAAACACAAAACCTCAATCAATTCACAAGCATACACAGGAAAAACCTAAAACTGAAGAGTATACAAGCATCTAGCATTCCTCAAGAATGCCAAGGTCATCACAGAGCAGCTGGAAGAACTGGAGATTTAAAAACTAAATCCAATGTAGGATGTGATGTTGGATTCTGACAAGAACAAAGTCATTACGGTAATGTGGAAGAAATCCAGATAAAATCAGTAGTTTGGTTAACAGAATTGTACCAATGCTAATTTCTGGCTTTATTCATTGTACTGTAATTATAAAAGCTGCTGATACTCTGGGAATCTTGCTGAAGGATATATGGTAATTCATTGAATTGTTTGTAGAACTTTTATGTAAACCTAAAAGTTTTGTGTTCTAAAAAAAAAAAAAAAAAAAATCAACCTCACCTGGCAAGCACAAGGCCCCAAGTTCAATCCTTGGTTTAAAAAAAAAAAAAACAAAGAAAAAAATCAACCTAAAGACGCTTTTCTACATGGTTACTAAAATGTCATCATTTTCTGAATGTGCTGTAGTGAAAATACTAAGGGATTACAAAGAAAAGGACAAATGCTCAATCTAGGAGTCCCCTTGTAGTAACTGCATTACTAAATTACAGTTATTAAATGCTAAATACAGTTACAATTACTAAATGTAGTTACTAAATGTGTATGTTGATTATTGCATTTTCCTATTTAATGTAGTAAACACTATTGGAATAGTGAGGAGGGAAAAAAGCTTTGAAGTAAATAGTCTAAGTTCATAGTTCACGTCCAAGATCTACCATGTTTTATTTAGGTTTTTTTTTTTTTTTTTTTTTTTTTTTTTTTTTTTTTTTTTGGTCTTTTTCCTTTTTATCAGTACCGGGGATCGAACTCATGACCGCCTCCTCACAAGGCAGACACTTATGCCGCTGAGCTAAATCCCTAGCCCCTTATTTAGGTATCTGTAGTTAAGTTATTCACTCTTTATGGAACTCAGTAAGTATATGTATAAAATTGAAAAAATAAAAAGGAGCTGGGCATGGGGGCACACACTTGCAATCACAGCACTCTGGAAGGCTGAGGCAGGAGAGTCACAAATCCAGCCCAGGCAACTTAGCAGGAACCTGTCTAAATAAGTAGATAGACAAGAGGTGGGAATGTAGCTCAGTGTGAAGTCCCTGGGTTCAATCCTCAGTACCACAAAAAAATTTTTAAATTTGAATTTTTAAATTTGAAATTTGAAAAACGGTGATATATGTGCATCCATGTTTATAGCAGCACAATTTGTAATAGTCAGATCTTGGAAACAACCCAAGTGCCCATTAACTGATAAAAAAGATATATTTTTGTACAATGGAGTACTACTCAGCTATAAAGAATGATCACACTGAGATATTCATAAATAAATGTATGCACTTGAGACCATACTCGTAAGTGAAATAATCAAACTTACATGTATAAATAACGTATAGTCTCCCTAGTGTAAGAAATGGTAAGAGTACATAAGATTTTATGGAAATCATGGTTCCCCATTACTTTGCTTTGAAGTCTTACAATGTCTTCATTGGTTGGAATGGTTTCATTCTGTTTTGTTTCACTGTATTATGTGTGATGGTATGAACAGCTACTTCGAAGAAAACAAGACATCATGGCAGCCATTGCTGATTTAATATCATCTTGCTTTGAAGTCCTATCATGCTTTTGTTCTATTTCCATTGGTTTTATCATGTTGTATCTTATTGGATTTTAATATGAATAGTACAAATTTTTTATGGAAAATGAGATACAGTAGCCATTGTTCATTTTCTGTTATTTGGTTTTGAATGTCCTGTAATACTTTCATTCTCTTGAGTGGTTTTATACTATTTTGTTACATTTCATATTATTGTGTGTGGAGGTATGTTCAATTATTTTAAAGAAAAAAAGATATTATGGTAGCCACTGCTAATATCTGGTTGTCTTGTTGTAAAGTGCTGTGTTGCTTACATTGTTCTGTTCTGATTTGCTTTGTTATGTCCCCTTGTTTTATTCTCTTCAAAATAAAATTTAAAAAAAGAAAAGTGGAGCCTACTTTGGTTGGATGCTCAATTTCCTATAACTGAAGGAATCCAAACCAGCACACATGCATCAAAGAAAAGACAGATCAAAGATTCTACTCTCATGGTAACTACATTTCACATAGGAAGGAAGATGCTGAACCAGTGAACAAAGAATTTCAGGAACTGAGAAGTACTTTAAAATAAAATGGGGAATGACTACAGAGTAAGACAGCCACATTAGAGATGGTGGCCCAGGGAATTTTAGAAGTTCCATTTGAGACAAGGAAGGGCTCATCATATGAACATCCCGAGGAAGAGTATTCCTAGCAGAGCGAAGAGCAGATGTCGAGGCTTTGTGTTCAAGACACAAAAAGGCAGACTCAGTGTCTGAAGTGAGGGACAAGTGATACAAAGTAGTGCTATGGTCTAAATGCTCCTACCCCCAACTCATATGCTGAAATTTAGTCCCCAATGCAGTAGTGTTAAGAGGCAGGCATCTGCAGGTGACTGGGAACAGAGGGCTCACGACCTCATAAGAGAGGCTCAAAGGATCTTGTTTGCCTCTTGCACAGGTGAAGACAAGGAACAGGTATAATCTCTGAAAAGCAGGCCCTTCCCAACACTTAACCCACTAAAACTGAGAACAATACATTTCCACTGTTTATAAATTATCAGAGGCATTTCATTATAGCTACAAGAATGGGTAAGACAGATGGGACTGGAGAAGCAAGACAAACGTAAGAGGCTAATACAGGAGCCCAGACTAGAGATCAGTGATTTGGACGTGGATATTGTTGAGGGGGAGAAAATATAGGCACATGTAAGACGTGACTGCAGAAGTGGAGGTGAACAAGACTTGTACCAATCACATTGAAGGGGGCTTGAGGAGAATAATCAAAAATGGACCTGATTTCTGCACTGAGTCATTAGGGTGGAACATGATGTTATTCCTGGGATAGGCAGTCTGGGTTGTGGGAATGAGGGAAAGGAACAGAAAATCAGGCATGTTTTGGTATAGACCTCCTATACAGGTGATTGTTTTTTGTTTTCCTTGTTCTGCTTCTGGTATATCAAACCTGGGCACTGTACCACTGAGCTACATCCTCAGTTTTTTGGTTTTTTTTAAGTTTTTCACTTTGAGACACAGTCTTGCTAATCTGCCCAGACAGGACTTGAAACTCCAGGCCTAAGCCTCCCTCAGTACTGCAATTACAGGCATGCACCACAGCTCCTGGCTTCCATACTATATTAATACCAACTTACCTCCACCTTTTCAATTTGTCAGGAAGTTAGTCCCAGATGTGGTTGTTCTAATTTTCTGTGATGAAATTCTAGGCCAATGAACCGGAAGATAAATGCCAGTAAGGGAGAAAATTCTGTTTTGTTTTGTTTACCGATAGAACACAAGTCCCAGATGGTGCATGGAACAGTAGGCATCCTTGTTGAATGAATGACAGAATAAATGCTTAATCTTACATGTCATGACCCAAAAACTGATTCTCTTAAAAAATACAACCCAGCCAGGTGTGGAAGCACAGAGAGGCTAAAGCAGCAGGAAATTCAAGCTCAAGCCTAGCCCAGGCAACTTAGCAAGACCCTCTCTAAAAAAAAAAAAAAAAAAAAAAAAAAAAAAAAGATGAAAAGGGCTGGATATACCTCAGTGCACAGGCTCTAAGTTCATTCCCAGAACTGAATGAATGAATGAATGAATGAAATAAGCAGTACAAAAAGCTCAGTCCCTTGCTGCCAACCAGGAATAGGATGAATTGTCTCTGGAGAAAGATTGTCTTATCATCCAGAACCCTTACAACTTTGCTTCTACATGTTGCCTAGCATTAAATCAAGAAAATATGCCAAGCAGAACAAAAGAAAAAGTAGTAGAAAGAAATGCACATGTGACTCAATACTAGAGTTATGAGATACAGGTTTTCAATTAAAAACATGTTTAAGAAAACAGACATGCAGATGGAGAATTGTACCAATCTAGAATTTATAAAGAGTACAATGGAAATGCTAGAACTGAAACCACAATAACCAAAATTATGAATACAACTAGATGGGTGTCTTAGTCACTCCCATCACTGGACCCAATATCCAATATCCATAACTTAAAAGAGAGGTTTCTTTTAGCTCATATTTTTTTAGAGGATTCAGTCCATAGTTGACTGGTTCTAAGACAGGAAGGAAACAGTGGAAGAGTCTGATGGAAGAAAGCTGCTCACACATCATAGTGGTCAAGAAACACAAAGAGGGAAGGTCCCAGGAACGAGAATACACTCTTGCAGGTCAAGTGCCAGCGACCTACCTCCAACGAGGCCCCACCTCCTACAGCAGTCAGCTACTGAACTTATCAATGGATCAATCTACTGATGAATATAGCATCACTATGGTCCAATCACTTTCCCCTAGTTTTTTTTTTTTTTTTTTTTTTTTTTTTTTTTGTCTTTTTCCTTTTTATCGGTACCGGGGATCGAACTCACGACTGCCTGCTCGCAAGGCAGGCGCTTATGCCGCTGAGCTAAATCCCCAGCCCCAAAACCCCTCCTCTTAACACATAAGTGTTTTAGGAGACATTCTAGATCTAAACAATAAAAATTTACCAGAAAATTGTACACAGCTAGGGCTGAGAGAGTTGGTAAATAAAAACACAGGATGCCCAATTCAACTGGAATTTCAGGTAAACATTTTATTTTACTTTTTTTAGTGTAATTGTGTCCTGCTGTGGTTTGGACACCCGTCCCCCAAAGGCTCATGTATTGAAGGCTTGGTCACCAGCACACAGCACTACTGGGAAGTGGTGGGACCTTGAGAAGGTGATGCCTAGAAGGAAACTGGATCACTGGGGCTGTACCTTGAAGGGGACCTTGGAGCTCTGGCCTTGCTCTATCTCTATTGGCTTCCTGGCTGCAAATATGAGCAGCTTGCTCCACCATGCACTCCCACAGGATAAAGAGCTGCCACAGGCCCAAAAATAAAAAGCCAAATGACCATTAACTAGACCTCCAACACTCTGAGCCAAAATAAACCTCTTCTCTTTATAAATTGGTTCTCTGGGGTATCTGTTATAGTAAATCTAAGTTGATCACATAAATGCATTCAAAATTTCGGACATGCTTATTCTTAAAAGTATTCACAATCAGAAATACAAACTTAATAAGATTTCTTCATTTCATCTGGCAAGGCCAGACACAACTAAAAGGAAGACTCATTTTGCCAAAGATATCCATGATAAAAAGGACTAAAAAGATGAAAAATGTTTGAAGGAGTGAAAGAGATGGTTGAGGCCTGGTGGAAGTTATAAAATAGTCTCAGAGTCTTAAAAAAAAGGCTAGAAAAGTGGATTAGAAGCAACATTTAAGGCAAGAGTAGTTGTGTAGTTCCTGATTCATGAAGAGATAAACACATGCACCTAGGTCCATTAGAATGTAACCGAGAAACAAACACGAGCAAACTCAAAGCCACAGGGGTGGGGACAGACCTGCCTATCTTGGAAGTTTCATCATAAATTTATAACTGACTCATCAGCATAATGAAACAGAAGTTCATGAGACAAAAATTAAAGAGAATAATTTCCAACTTAAACTTCTATTTTCAGAGAAAATAGCTTTCAAAAGTAAAGTCAAAAAAAGACATTTCCAGTCAAATAAAAACTAAGAGAATGCATCACTTACACAGGCTTGAAAAAAAACAGCAAAGAGTTCTTCAGGAAGAAGAAAAAAATGATCCGAGGCAGAAACAATGAAATGCAGAAGAGACCTGGGCTTCTCCCGCAAACTCCCGCCTTCTCTGCAGGCGCCCTCCTGGGACCCAGGAACTCAGCCAGAGGTGCACACTGGTAAGGCCAGAACCATGCCCCTCCTGTGTTCCTGTGTCCCACAGTCCTGGCCATCCATCTCAGGACCCAGGAACTCCAACCCGTGACACGCGCCTCCACAGTCCCACCCCTGCCACTGGGGATCCTCCCACCTCCTGGACCCAGCATTGCTGTTGATCTTCGGCTCCCTCACCTCCCCCCCAGAACCTTGGACTGCAGTGGTTTAACCATGCAGTATCCAGGGGAGATTCAGTAAAAAGAACTCAGCAGGCTTCCATCAGTGAAGTGAGTTTGTCCCTAAAACAGGAATAGAGTTTGCCACCTTCAGTGGATGAACAGGAGCAACAGTGAAGCCCCCTCCAGAAGTAGGCGATAGGCAAGCTTGGCAAGTGGATGGGTGAGTCCTTCCTCCACATGGAGAATATCAGGTAGCTTGAGGAGGGTGCCAACAAGGCCTTCCCCAACCTGGAGAAAATGAAGGGGACCCAGAGACACAGTAGGGTCCCAGATGAGACAAACACAATAAACAGGAGGATCTGGTGACTCTGAACAACATGTACACATAACAACAACAGCAACAAGGGGTTGATTTCCATCAATACTCCTAGGCTTGTAAGCCTAGGAAGAACATTGGACTCACCCAACAGGCCCTGCAGGAGGAATTCAGGTGACGGGCCCCCCCCTCTTCATTGTGGGACCCAGCAATTGGACAAACATCAACCTTACAGTAGGACTGCAAGATACACACTACCAACAGTTGACATTAGTGGTATTAAAGGATCAAATATTAACCCAAAAGGGGAAAATGGCCAAAAAAAAAAAAAGCAAAATGCAATCTCAAACATCTAGTCCACCAGGAACAAGTACAGGAGACATTGAAATAGAGGACTTCAAAAGTAACACACCAGAAATCTCTGAAAAGATAGCAAGTGAAATAAAAAAAGAACTCCATGAGGCTATAGAGGAAATCAAATTAGAAGTAATCTCTCATGTAAAAACAGAAATAACAACTATAGTAAAGGAGTTGCTCAGCACAGCGAGGGAAGAAATAGATTTAAAAAAAAAAAGTACAGGAGCATGGGAAACTGATTGAAATCCTGAATAAATATTATAGAAAACAAACAGAATTCATGAAACAAACTCAAAGAGACATCCAAGAAACAAAAATTTTATTGAAAGCTGGCAAAACCATTTAAATGAAGCTGAAGATTCAGACCTTGAGGACAGTATTGCAATTAGCAATCATGAAAAAATAAAACTTTTAAAAATAACAAAGCAGCATGAAATGACAATCAGAAGCTTCAAAATGATGCCAAGAGAAATAATATAAGATTAATAGGCATCAGTGAAGATGCAGAAGTCAATGTAAACGACATAACCAAGGTAAGTAAAAGCAGAAAATTTCCTAAACATGAGGAAAAATCTGATATACAGATAAGGGAGGCATACAGAACACCAAAAAATCACAACCACACATAAATGTACATCCAGACATATAATAATTAAGATCCCAAACATCCAGCAGAAAAACTGGATACTAAAAGCTGTCAGAGAAAAGACACAACTCACCTATTAAGGAAAGCTCATTAGAATCACAGCAGACTTTTCAGCACAAACCCTCAAGTCAAGACGAGCTTGGAGTAAGTCCTAAAAGAAAACAACTTTCCCAGACTGATGTACCCAGAAAAACTTTCATTCAAATTTAATGGAGAAACAAGATACTTCCATGACAAAGAACAACTGAAGAAATCCATGTCCACCAAACCAACCCTAGAAGTGTTGAAAGACATACTAGATAGAAATAAAAATGACCACAATCCCCAGAACAACAACAGAAAGAAACCACCAGGTAAGACAAGCAATTAAACAAGGGGGAAAAGCAGAAAGCAAACAACTGGAACATAACATGGCAAAATCAAGCCAGTACATATGAGTTATATCCATAAATGTAAATGGCCTCAATTCACCTATCAAAAGAAATAGGTTGACAGAATCAAGAAACATGATCCCTGTATATAAGAAACACATCTGACCCAAAAGGAAACTCATAAGTTAAAAGTCAAAGGATGGAAAACAGTATTCCATGCAACAGGAACTCAGAAAAAAGCAGGGGTAATTATTCTATTTGCAGACAATGTGAACTTCAAACCTAAAATGATTAAAAGAGATAAAGAAGGTCACTACAAACTCGTTAGTGGAAAAATTCAAGAGGAAGAACAATTATAAATATATATGCACCAAATACAGGAGCACCCACCTATATAAGACAAATACTAATGGACATGAAAAACCAAATACACAAGAATACAATTATGACAGGGGACCTTCACATCCCATTGTCACAAAGAGATAGATCAACTAGACAAAAACCCAGCAAAGAAATAACAGAACTGAATCATACCTGTGATCAATTGCTTAGCAGATGTTTACAGTGTTCCACCCAACCACATCAAATACACATTCTTCTCAGCTGTGCATGGGACATTCTCCAAAACAGACCATATATTATCCCATAAAACATTCTTAAGTAAATGCAAAGGAAATGAGATTACCCCATGTGTAATATCTGACCATAGCGCACTGAAATTGGAAATTAATGGCAAAAGAAACTGCAAAACCTGCATAAATACATGGAAATTAAATAACAAACTTCTGAACAACCAGTGGGCTACAGGTAAAGAATAAAGCAATACCTACAATTCAGTGAGAATACAGAAACAACATACTGCAATCCACGGGATGCAATGAAAGCAGTCTTAAGAGGGAAATATATAGCAATAAATTGTCATATCAAGAAAACAGAACAAGCACAAATAAACAACCTAATGCTTCATCTCAAACTTCTAGAAAAAGAAGAGCAAGTTAAACCCAAAGCTCATAGAAGAAAGGAAATTGTAAAGATTAGAGCAGAAATCAATGCAATTGAAACTAAAAAAAAAAAAAAAAAAAGAAATACAAAGAACTAATGAATTGAAAAGCTGGTTTTTTGAGAGAATAAACAAAATTGACAAATTTCTAGTTAACCTAATCAGGAAAAAGAAAGAAAAAACCCAAATTCATGCAATAAGGACTGAAAGGGGGGAAATTACTATAGATCACATGAGAATTCAAAAGATCATGAATACCTACTTTGAAAATCTCTGCTCACATAGAATGGAAAACACAGAGGAAATGGACAGATTGCTAGAAACATATGAACTGCCAAAGCTCAACCAAGAAGATGTAGCAATTTTGAATAACCCATTATCAGCTATTGATATTGAAAACATAATTAAATACTTACCAACAAAGAAAAGCCGAGGTCCTGATGGATTCACAGATGAATTCCACAAGAAATTTAGAGAAGATTTGACGCCAATACTCCTTAAACTCTTCAATGAAGTTGAAAAGGAAGCAATCCTCCCTAAAACATTCCTGGAGGCAAGTATTACTCTAATACCAAAACCAGAGAAAGACCCAACCAAAAAGGAGAACTATAGGCCAATCTCACTAATAAACATTGATGCAAAGATTTTCAATAAATTACTGGCAAACAGAATGCAGCAAATCGTCAAGATAATACATCACGACCAAGTGGGATTCATTCCAGGAATGAATGGTTTAACATACGCAAATCAATAAATGTAACATACCACATCAACAGAGCCAAAAACAAAAACTATATGGTCATCTCAATAGATGCAGAAAAAGCTTTCGATAAAGTCCAACACATGTTCATGATAAAAACCCTTCAGAAACTCTGAATATATGGTGTCTACCTCAATCTCATAAAGGCCATCTATGACAAACCAACAGCCAACATTATACTAAATGGACAAAAACTGAAAGCTTTCACACTAAAATCAGGAACAAGACAATGATGTCCACTATCACCACTCCTATTCAACAGAGTTTTGGAAATACTAGCCAGGGCAATCAGACAAGAAAGGAAAAGAAGAAGTTAAACTATCACTATTTGTAGATGACATGATACTCTATATAGAAGACCCGAAACACTCCATTAAAAGACTACAAGAGATAATAAATAAATTCAGCAGTGTAGCTGGATACAAAGTCGATGCTCAAAAATCAATAGCATTCCTGTACACTAACAAAAAGCTCGCTGAGAGAGGGAAGTATTGCCCCTCACAATAGAATCTAAAAAAATGAAATACTTAAGAATCAACCTAACCAAGCATGTAAAAGACCTATATGCTGAAAATTAAGCTATGCTAAAAAAGGAGGGATATTAGAAAATGGAAGGATATTCCTTGCTCTTGGCTAGGAAGAACCAATATTATGAAAATGGCCATACTCCCAAAACTGTTATACAAATTTAACGTAATCCCAATCAAAATACAATTGACATACCTCACATATCTAGAGAAAACACTCCTAAAATTCATTTGGAAACTGAAGAGACGTAGAATAGCAAAGGCAATTCTGGACAACAAAGGCAAGGCAGGAGGCATCTCAATTCCTGACCGAAACTATACTACAAAGCCATGTGATAAAAGCAGCATGGTCCTGACAAAGAAATAGACCTGAGGATCAATGGAACAGATTAGAAGGTACAAGCACAAGTACAAAGACACTCAGCCACCTGATATTTGACAAAGGGACTCAACATGTTCACTGGAAGGACAGCCTCTTTAATAAATGGTGTTGGAAAAACTGGCTCTCCACATGCTAAAGACTGAAACTAGACCCATGTATATCACCACGCACAAAACTAAATGGATCAAAGATCTAAATATTAAGATAAAAACACTAAATCTACTAGAAGACAAGGTAGGGCAGAAATCTTGGGAGACATAGGGGTAGGCAGAGAATTCATGAACAAAATGTAAACTGCACAGGAAACACTTGAAAGAATCAACAACTGGGACCTCATACTACTGAAAAGTTTCTGTACTTCAAAAGAAATCACCAAAAGAGTGAAAAGAAAACCCACAGAATGGGAAAGAATTATAGCCAGCAACCCCTCTGACAAAAGACTTACATCAAGATCATCTAAATAATTGAAAATCATGCCCCCCCCAAATTCAAAGACCCTCTGCAAAAATGGGCATCTGAGATGAACACACAGTTCTCAGATGAAGATATACAAATGGCAAATAAATACATGAAGAAATGTTCACCATCACTGGTCATTTGAGAAATGCAAATTAAAAGAGCACTGAGATTTCATCTCACTCAAGAAAACAACTGATAACAAATGTTGGCGAGTGTATAGGCAAAAAGGAACTCTGCTCCACTGTTGGTGGCAGTGTAGACTGGTGCAGCCACAATGGAAATCACTATGCAGATTTCTCAGAAGACTAGGATTGGAAGTTCCATTCAACTCAGCTATTCCCCTCCTGGGTATTTTCCCAGGAAACCTGAAAGGGTCATGTCACAGTGATATATGTGCACCTATGTTCATAGCAGCACAATTTGTGATAGCTAAATCTTGGAAACAACCAAAATGCCCACCAACTGCAGAGTGGATGAAAAAGATGTGGTATTTTTATACAATGGAATATTACTCAGCTATAAAAAGGCTGATCTTGAGGCCTTCATAGTGAAATGGAGGTAACTTAAGACTATTCTCATAAGTGAAATACCACATTGTCTCTAGGATAAAAAGTAGTAAGAACTGTAGGAGTAATAAAACCCAAAATGTGTAACTGATATTGTAAAAAAGAGAGGAAAAGTGCTCTAAAGGATATAACAGCATGTATGTTTAAGTGTGTAAGGTAGATGACCATATTACTAAGTTTTTGTTGGATCATTAAGCAGAACTGTTCCCAGTCTGAATGTCCACTTTGTATGCTTTAGTTTTGTAACTTAAACAACAATTTTGTAACTATTTCTAAGATGACAGTATGTAACTTATCAACTAGTGATTTCTTAGTTTTTTTAAAATTCTGTATTATTGCTACCCTTTTTTGTTTTGCTTTTTTCCTCTTTAAAATTTTTAAAAAGAGAAATGCAGAAGAGAATAAACAACAACAGTAAATATACTAGTAAATTAACTGAATATTGATTATGGAATATTAATAAAGTTAAATGTACTTACAATTCTTAATTCTAATGCAAAGAGCAAATAGTAAATACGGATAAGCAGTGTTACAGTGTATCACATCCCTAACAGGCATAAAAAGAAACTACTGCTTTTTTGGACTCATAAATGCATGCTGACAGCACAAGGATAATGACTTTAAAAGAGCAAAAGAATAAACAGCAAACAGCAGTAAAAGTTTACATTCCAAAAAAACTGGGGTGAATGAAAAACAAGGAAAAGAAAGATACAGGTGGGCAAATACACCAACGAACAGTGAGATAGCATTATAATTGCATTAGTAAGTATATTAAATACAAATAAGCCAAACTCAATAAAGTCTGTTAATAATCATGCAGATACCATTGCCTGCATTTTACAGTCAAAGGATCTGAGGCACAGAGAAACTGAGTAAACTATGCTGGATGCTCACACAGCAAGCTGCTATAGCAGGAGTGGAACCCAGCATCTTACCTCTAGGACTAGGTGAGCACATACCCTGCCAGGCACTTACTGCCTCCTCTCCATCCCCACCACCCAGCCCAGACTCCTGCAACAAAGTCCTAACTGGGCTCTGCTGCACCACAGTTGTCCTGATGACCTTGCTATAGCACAAACTGATCTCTCCCTTAAATTAAAATCTCTTGCTGGATTTTCATGATTTCCCTGCTCCCTCCTCATCCACTGCTTCCTGTCCTACATTCTACTAAGACTGGACTTTTGGGATTTCCAAAAAGTACAGTGGTTACCCCTGCCTGCAAGCTGTGCTCTACTACTCCCTCTTCTGACCCACAAGAGTAGCCCCTCTTCCCAGTGCTAAGTTATAATTATACATGGCACCACTACAGCCCTTTCTGTGCCCAGCACTGTGCTGAATGCTGTAGAGGCACCCTTCTCATTCAAGCTTCAATTCTACATATAAGTACTTCTACTCAACCTGCAGACAGAAAGGTTTACTCAATCAAGTAAATTACTCCATTCAATTTATTGTCAAGCCAGCAAATACTAAGTAAGCACCACGTGCCTGGGTAACAGACCAATCTGCCTGCACTCATATGCACCATGCTAGTTGGTCATAAGTGACAGGTAAAAACTACGGAGAAGGAAGAGACTGTGAAGTGGGTTACAGTGTTTTGAGAAAGGACCAAGGGGGGGGGGGGACCAAGGAAGGCAAGACTGAGTAAAGAGGTTAATGAAGTGAGGGATGAGCCATTGAGGTCTCAGGGAACATTCTATTCTAGGTCTAGAGGGCAAAATTCACTGAATGTCATCTGTAAACCACTTGGACCCCTGACCAGACAGTCAGGTATGATCATATGCCCACTGTTGGACATACAGGAGGCACTGCCAAAGGACCAGGACTTAATTTTGAATGACAATAAACTAGTACCTTTCCCAGATGACCTCCGTGGACTTGAATCCTAAGGCTGTCGCAGCCTCTCACCGTCCACAGTGCACAATGCCCATGTCATCCACTCTTCCCTCCTAGGAGTCAGGCCTATCTTATAACTTGTTTCTGAGTTCTTGAAACTGGATCTGTATACTATGGGCCTCTATGGATTCTTTCTAAACAAAAAGAAGGCACAGGGGATAAAGAGAAGATGCCACTAGTAATAGGGAGGGAGGCCTGATTTTGACTACTAAGTTTTCACAATCACCTTCTCACCTTACTCAAAAAAGATGGAGCTGTTAAAATCCAAAGAGCAAGCCAAACTCATGCTGTACCTCTGAAAGGGTCTAAGAAGTAGAGCAAAAGGCTACTGGGTTATACATGCAAAAGCCATGTCCTCTGTGTAGCAGATGTTAGCAGGGAGGAGGAAACACAATCACTAACACCAGAGCAAAATCAGGATTGAATCCCAAGGTTTAGCATGAGGTAGACCCAACCTATCCAGGGAGAAACTTCCAGATGAAAACGAATGGACATCCTAAGAAAGGAACAGAGTCACCAAGGAAAACCAAAACATCCACGTGGGAGAACCTGCTTGGGTTCCTGCATGGGGGAGAGCAGGAGCACTGGCCTGGGGACAGGCAACCCACCACTTCCTGCCAAGTCAGTGGCCTCCAGTGTCTTATGGGGCACTCGAACACATAGAACATGTGGTCCTGGGCAAGGATCATTGCTCTCCTCAGGGAGACTCAGAGCTGTTGACCAAGTATTTGAAAATAACCCTCCAAATTCTAAGGAATGAGACAAAACAACCTTCAATATTTGCATAACTTCTAAATCTACATATTTCATGAGATGTGAACATTTTCAGGTGTATGAAACCTCTTAGATAATCAGCATGCTACACAGTTGAATTCTCTAATAGTTCATAGAACTCAATTTCACCATTTAAAACTAGAGAAGTTAAAGTGCCGTGCCTTGGGTTTTTACAGCACGTGACTCACATTGGTTTTTGGTCAGGAACACCACACTTCTTTCACCCATCCCTAACACACAATGCTGTGCTTCAGGAAAACAAGATTTTCTCTGTGATCTGGATTCCAGCTTTGGGAACATATGATGGCCGGGGGTACCCACCTGAGAAACTTATGCTACATTTCTGCTCAACTCAGCATTCTCACATTCAGAGATAAGTCTAAGAACCAGTAGGCCAGACTCTGGAAAAATATTTAATAATAACGATTTCTACTGCCCCCAAGTGGTCATATGTGATGTGACATCTCCAACAGGCAATTCTGAAGGAAGGGAAAGATCACTTAAGTGCTCTCAGAATAGGATGGTTAAAAAGAAGGAAAAGGAAAGAAAAAGAAAAAGAAAAAAATATATGTATACATAAAAGGCAGTTAAGTTTCTTTTAGTTCATTGAAAAAATGGTTTGTTCTTACATTATTTGATCAATCATGTATCAAATACGGTTTGTTCTTACATTATTTGATCAATCATGTATCTTGTAATCTGAGCAACTACTTTGAAGATAATAATACACTATATTTTAACCAAATTTCCTTTAATCTTGTTTTGAAATTCTCATTGTTGTGGGTTTTTTTCTCTTAAAAAAAAAGAATAGGATGACTAAATACCAAGATACTACATATCAGGGCAAAACAGGAAAAAAAAATGGTCCCTTTTCTATTGGTATTTTCCCCTACTCCAGAAGTTTGGTGAGATAGGAAAAACAATACAGACTGCTAAAAGTCTACTGGAATTGAATTAGAATGAATTCTTATCTGGCTCCACAACCCAGGTCAAATTACCTCTGATTTACCATATAGTCACTAATTGTGAAAATTATATAAACACAGATAGGATTTTTAAAAAACTTTTACACTTAACATCGCAATTTAAAAGCATTTTGTATAGGTCAACACAGTACAAATGCTAACAGTCAACAAAAAGATACAGGCTGGCAAGAGGGAGAAAAGAGGAATATGACTTGAAGAGGGCATCATGTAATAAATTTATTATATTTAGTTACATTTTCGACTTTTCTCTTAATTCCAACTGTATACTATATAATAACTGCTGTTTCAGAAATAAAATGTTTTAAACATAAAAATATAAATTCTGTTTCTTAAAAGTGCATACACCTTGAATAATAAAACATGAATAAATAACAAAAGTCAGTGACATATCTCATGCACTTGGTCTAAAATAATTTAAAATGTAAGATACTTTTTTCCAGCCACTAGAAAAGACATCCTGCCTTCCATCTTATTGTACAACTAAAGAAGAAAATTACACAAAATTTTTCACGGTGCATGAACAATACCAAAGCATTTTGTATACAGTGACATGACATGCAGCTTTTAGGACAACTAGAGAAATTCCAGTGTAAATATGAGAGTTCAATCAAGAGATACGTTAGTAACGGTACCTAAATTCAATTTTAACCAATGGTGAGAGGCACGTTTGGTGAGCAAACCTATATGAAACACAAATGCGTATCTGAAAGGCCTACAAAGAGAATCTCAATTTTAGAAACACTATCTGCCTCTCTATTGGGTATAATGACATCACACCATTTAAAATAGCACCTAGGATATTTCATATTGCATTTTCATGACTATAAAACATCTCTTCCATACTAGAAGGCCTTTCTAAAGAAGCATTTCCAACACAGATTTTGCCTTCTATCTTTATTCCATAAAATGTTGAAAATATCAGAAAAACTGTTTATTTTGTAGGCAGCATAACGCTCAGAAAGGATGAAACCACCTGCGCACAGTAGATTATTTTGCAGATGTTGCAGTGCATTCAGCTCACCACAGATTAAAATTAAATTTCATTTGCCTCCATAGGATAACATAAATTTTTGGATGTTTACTTGTTTTTTTTTTTAAAAATTACATGAAAAAATAGCAGTAAGTTACCAAAACAAAAAAAAAGATTCCAAGTAAAATGTTTCATCCTCATTTTCAAACTTAAAAGAATTCCAGAAACTATATTCTGGACTAGTAAAAACTACCAGAGAGAATGAGCTAAGTAGGAAATCAGCAGCAGCCTAGAAGTTGCTATTTTCATTACTACAAAAAGGCAATCGTTCTATCAAAAGCAGGGAAGGTTTTGCAAGGCCTGAAAGTTTGTTTTTTATTTTCTTTTCCCACATTTTCTAGCTTATGATATTTCCCTCTCCCCCACAAGTCCCACCACAGAATCTAGGAGACAGGCTCAGGGAAAGCACACAGACCCATCCATTACTCTGCCTACGCTAGCAACTAAAATCACCTATTCCCATTACACTGGCAGGCATCAGCCAACCACAAACGCTCCACACTCTCCAAACCAGATACTGATACAAGTAGTTCTCTATTTTCCTCTCCACAAGAACTGAGCAATTGGAGTCACTCCAGAATACTTCCTATGGCAGTGATTCTCACCATAATTCTTGGCAAAGGGACAGTGATCCACAGTGGTTCCTACTCCTGCCTGCAAATTAGAAACACACAAAAACCTCGAGATATATGGTAATTCTTGGACCTACCTCTACACTAATTAGCTCAAAATCTTGGGAGGGAGACCCAGACATGCAAAATTCCCTAGATCATCTTCATGAATGCTGGGCATCACCACAGATGAGTCACTCAAAACGGGCCTAAGAGAATCTCAGAGAGGGTATATGTGAGAATCAAAAACGCTTCTCACATCAGCTATGAACCTCCTTCTCTCCCCAAATGGAAAACACTGGTTTTAAATGAGCATCAGATAAATCTAGACCCAAATCTACTGTACAACACCATGTAAGTTTCAGGGCCTTGTTCTTACTGTAATCAGTGGGAGGGAAGCTCCAAGCCTTCCAAAACAGCCCTCAGTCTCTACACAAAAGCATTTTAAAATTGTTAGCACTATTTGAAGCCACATTTTTTTCCTTGTGACGACGAATTCTATAAGATATAAAAAATTAAAATCTATAGAAAATGGCAGGTTATTTTTAGAACAAAATACTTCAGGAAAGTCTTCAGGCTAAATACACTATGTACATCAATGTATGCTCAACATACCTAATTTCACTCCTGCCTGCAAAATATTTATTTTACACACAATCTCGTCAATGATAAAAAAAATCAGTAAAGAGAAAAACATGTAAAGCAAACCAAGAAGTCACATTCATGCTCATCTATACTGATTAGGCCACATTTCAAAAATTACAAAGTCAAAAATAAAGTTCCATAATTTAAGATTTGCATTCTTAAAACTTTTTAGTATAGCCTTTTTTTATTGGTTGTTTGCATAGGTAGTAAGAGCATGCTTTCTAGGTTAGATGAAGGGCATGCAAAATTGTTTTTATTACATGGGTTAAAATTTGTCATGCTCAAAATGCAGCTGCAAAAACAAACACTTTGGGAATTGATCAAAGACAGTATGAGATATTATTTATTTAAATAAAAGCACTGGATGACCCACCCCCAAACATGTAGTCAGATTAATAATGTACCCTTTATGAAATTAAAGGCAAAATAGCTTGCACACTAAAGCTATGTTTTGTGTTTATGACAGGCACTGGTTTGTCAGCAAATTTTGTCCCTCTCAAATACAAAACTCCAGTGTGCCTCCAGGACATATTTTATTGAATCTGTGCTTATAATTTGCAGATTATCTCACAAATCCAATCCAGGAACACTAGGTATCTTTATTACCTGATAACAATCATCTATAGAGAAAATATTAACTTGTCAGAATGTTCAGTAATTCGTCAATGAAATATATCAGATGTCCATCTACTTTAAAAAATATTTGTTTGAAATAAATGAGCTTTGTTCACAGCTTTTCTCGGCTTCATTTTCCCGGAAGCTGCCACTACTGTTCCTGTCTTTTCAAATGATAGTTACTTTAGAGGGAAGATATCCCTCTAACACATAAAAAAATTCCACACATCTATTGCATCTCATCATGGATGGATATACTCTAATGTACAAGTGTTGTGAAATGGATTTTTCAATCGCTACAGAGCAGAGACAGCTCAGTAGATATGAGTGCAATGTCTCCAGTGCAGTATCTCCAGAGATGAAGGGCACTTTTGGTTTCCAGACAGAATGTATGTACTGAAGAGGATCACAAGCCTTAGCCAATCGACCAGAATCCATAAGATCTTTTGGTTGAAAAGGAGTATCACTCCTTTAGAGATTATCAGCATCCTCTGATTTATCAGCTGTGTCCTCAGGACTCCTCAGCTACAGCAAATCCCTGAGGCTTTCAGCTTGCCTTTAAATGCAATGCAGGCCTTCAATGAATGTTTACAGAATAAATGAATGATGAAAGAATGATTTCAAGAGTTTAAGGTAGCCTCATAGATAATGACAATATTTTAGTATATACAAATACTCTCACATTCGCTTTTATTGATCCAGCACATTATTTTCAGTTAGGCTGCTGTCAGGGTGAGAACATACAAAAAGGGAAGGAAGCAGTGTGAAACAAGAGGAGCTCACTTGGCTTCTCTGTGCTTCCACACTAAGGGATTACAAAGGTGTAGGACTGTCTAAAGAGGTGATACAGCTTCAGTGCCCTGGATTTTTATAGAAAAAGAAATCAAGAATAAAAAGTTACATATATATAACTCAAACAAACACTGTAAATCCAACTTTGTAATTACGTGTAGTGCTTACCAAGAACTGTGGCGATTATTTGGTGCCCATCAGGAAGTGACTGTACTGATTAGGCCTATCTGGCTGCTGACTAGAAACTCAGGCTTACCAACCTCAGCAGATCATATGCATTCATTGTGCCAAGTATCACAGGGGTAGGGTGACAAAAAACAAGTTTCTAACCCTAACGAAGAACTGAACTGAGCCAAGTAACAATGTTCCTAAGATACTTCATTCTTCAAGAACACCTTTAAACTTTTGGACAAAATATCTTTTTCAGCTGCTTCAAGTTGTACCTAGCTGTTAGGAATAGTGAAATTTTCATTCTTTGCCAACTATGGAAATATAACAGCTTAATGATTACTAGACAATGTCATAATACTGATTTTTTAAATTTAATTAAACCTGAAACAAGGACTAAACTCCATAGACATATATTTACAGGCTTATTATAGTTGTATTTCTAAATCTCATGGAAAATTAAAGAGATTTGTACAGTTTTATAGAAGACATTATACATAGTGGAAACTCCATCCGTACAGGTCTTCAGAATAAAAATACCACCGTGAAAATAAAACTAGTTTCTACTAATACTTAACTGATCAAGGGGAAAAATGTGTTATTAAAACCCTCCAACTATTGTCAAACTATAATTTTAAGATGGCTTCAGAGCCTCAGATAAGAAATTTCAAATAGCATCTATCTGCTAAACAAAGATGAGAGATTCAAATTAGATAAACATTCAATTCCTGATAGTGACGGTCCCTCATTTGCTACATCTTTCTCAGGAAATAAAATATAGGAAAGTTAGAGCGGTGTTGTCAGTATGCCATGGGAAGCAATGTAGTGTGGAAGGCAGCCAGTCACCTGCAATTACAGACCAGCAGAGAGTGTTGCTGCTCTGGAAAGCCACCAAAATCTATATGGGCAAACCTAGTGAAGTTGCAAGGGTAGCAATAAGTGCAACGGGCAATGAGCTTATGTTCAGTGAACTGTATGGAGCAACATAGTAACTTTTACAAGAGTGAGTTATGCCAGTCTTAAATATTGTGAGGGTCTAAAATTCCAGTCACTCTCAATGTAAGTGACCTCCAGACTTGCAAGTTACCAGCTCATGCGTAAATCAGCGGCAACACAAAGTTAGGTAACCTACTGGTAATATTTCCCAAAAGATATTCATGGGAAAGAAAGAAAAGAAAAAAGAAGGAAGGAGGGATACAGTGCAGAATTCACAGCATGCTTACGTGTTGCGATTATTCATACACAGCAGTTATAAGAAGGGTGATGATAAATGGATCTGTGCACCAAGAATTCAGAAAGAATTTCAACAGTTTATGACCAAAAAGAGTAAAGCACATAAACTAACTTAACATGCTGTATTTTATGGCAAAGTAACAAAAAGTATTCAAGGAGTATCATGATTTTGACTCTTTTTTAATATTAAAAACTACAGAAAAAAAAGCTAAAACTTAAGTAGGAAAATACTGCCAGGCGACTTTCACAAAGTTTGAGAAAGTACAGATTTTGCTTATCTGATATTTCTGTGAGGTTTCCTTTTTTCCATAAAAGAAATGCAATTTGTACTGACAATGCCAGATGGAATATTCTCCAAAACCTCCTTGCAAGTTCTTGGTATGAAATGAAATCCTCAACACAAAGAAGACATAAATGAAAGGCAATCTTAACAAAGACTGATAAACAGAATCTGAAGTCATACATTGCTTCAACGTACTATCACTGACTCTTGGCAGGAGGCAGTTTCTCTCCAATTACAAGATGAGGAAACAAGCATGCAGACAAGGTATAGCATGGAGCCTTCAACTTCTAACAAGAAAAGTGTAACACCAAAGAACGAAAGTGGTATCAGTTCATGTCTCCAGTTTACAGCACATTCCTTTCCAGGTATCTTTCAAAGGTATTAACTGCTCTGCTATAGCTCAAAATCCCAATAGCCTTAGCAAGCAAATATAGAAGAAAAATAATTTAACTAGTGATTGGCTTTCTGGTTATCCAATTGCCAGCTGAGGACATATTCCAAGTGTCAAGACAGGTTAGGTTAAGCACATCTCTGCAGATATGAAGGTAGCGAAAGATTTCATAACTACCCCTGAAACCTTCTATCTGTGGCAGTAAAAGAAATGACACAGTCACCCATATGTCACCTTCCTCTTTAATCCATTTACTGATGTACTGATCCAGCCTAGACCAGCTGAGTATATATACCTGAGAAACATTAGTGTTAAAATATTGCCCTTTACAAAGACTGATAGATGGGGCAAAAGTGCAGAAAGCAAGTTTTTCCCTCTGTTTCATTGTTAGTTTCACAGTTTTTGAGCTCCTGGTGCCACATGAAAATTCCAGTGAAGACAGATCCTGCTCAAATGAAAATAATGATAGCTTAACTGGTTCACAGGCTTCAAAACCCTAGGGTCCAATGAAAATCATTAGAGTTCTCGAGAAAGAAATATGTACATTTGCTAAAGGGACTGTCCAGGGTATCATCTACAATTATTCCAGTTAGCTTGGTATTGATGCTTTGCCTATGGCTGTTATTTGGTACAATGACAGAATAAGGCGACACTTTTCACAATTTGCAATTGAATTGTTCTCACACGCCCACACGCGCACACACACACATACACACACGCAAAAAATATAAAACAAAAGAATAAAGGGCTTTGGTGGGAGGGGGAGCTTCTAAATAAATAAACATCTTTACATATAAAACACTTGGATTGCAGGAATATCACTGAGGTTTCTGAGAAGGCCGTGCAGAGGTTTGCATGCTAGCAGGTAACTTTTTAGAGGCTTTCTCAGCAGACTGCCTGCCACTGGGAGACACAGGAATTGCAGAATCTAACTGGGAAGACTTGGATTTGCGAGCAGACAGCAGGGAATGTTTGGCAGAAGCAGGGTCCTTGGAGACAGGCTCCTTTCCAGCTGCATTTGCATTTGGCTGCTGGGAGCTTTGAGGCTGGTAGCCTTTCTCAGCTTTGTCATCCACGACATTCTTACCAACCAACTTGACAGAGCTTCCACCAGCCTTTTTAGAGAGCAAAGTTGTCTTGCCAAGATCAGTTGACCGCCGAGTTTCTTTCTGTCTCAAAGCAGACTTGAAGAAAGACAGCCCCTTGTCCTCAGACTTGCTATCTCTCTTCAGACCAGACCGCACACTCGTGCTGGGGGAGCGTAGGCTGGCCATGGAAGAGCTCCGGACATGCCTGCTGTCGCCTCTGCCCTCCCCCACTCTGGCCTGGCTCACCCGAGGAGAGCTGGGTTTAGAGGTGGAGGTGACGCTGGCTCTATCAGAACCCAGGCTTTGTCTGGAACCCTCTCTACTCAAGGTCCGATCTGAAGTCCTGCTCTTCCCAGGAGGGAAGGGGCCCCTGGTGGAAGGGCTGGAGGCTTTTTTGGCAGATGAAGAGGAAACAGTGTAAGTGAGGGTAGCAGCTGACTTCTGCTTCTGTGGTGAAGGAGATGATATAGAGTCCTGGGACTTAGGGGATGCCTCCTTTCTGGGTTGGCCAGGGGCCGGAGACGAATGCCTTCCACTGGCCCTGGAAGATGAATCTGCTTTGCTTCGAGAGCGGGAATGCTTTAGAGAGACTTTTATTGGAACAGGAGAAGAAGGGGATGTACTTGAAAGAGATGAGTCCTGGCTTGCCAAGGCTGGCCTCCCCTTCCGCAAGCTTTTATCTGGCTCAGAAGTGCCTTTGGAACTGGGAGATCTCTTGGTTGTGCTCTCTGGTTTCTTTGTAAGTGAGCCTGCATGGCTCGGGGGCTTAACCTCTTTGACTGGAGAGCTATCTACAGAATCACTCTGATCCACATAAGCAATTTGATTATTGTTATCAAATGGATCAGAGACTGGAGGTAAGTGATCCCCTTGTGCTAAGTTTTTGCTCTGTGTATCTGCAACACTGGAGTTCAATTTGCGGTTGTCTGATTCATCTCTGAACATACCTTCCATGACAGCCAACGGGGCCCGGCCTACAGCCTTGTTGTGCTCACGTCGACTGTGACCATCACTTGATTCCTGGTAACTGCTAGAAAGATTTCTCAAACTACCAAAGCAAGAGATAGAGACCTTATCATCCACTGCCTCCCCGATCTTCTCCAAGGTAGAGGCAGAGCTGTGAATTGGAGAGTCCCCTGAGAATCGGGAAGGAGAATTGGAACGCAATTGCAGCTTAGCAGACAGGGACCAAGAAGGTCTCATGCAATTTTCATTGACGGCCAAAGGGCTGGTGACAGAAGATCGGGATGACAAGCTCTGACGCTGGACACTTCTCACAAATGGTCGAGTTGAAAAGCCTCCTGAACAGAGCAGAGAATTGTGTTAAGTTAAACCAACAAAAACATTCTAGTAACATCTTAAGATATTGAACAAAGGCAAGACACGTGAAATGATATGAACATGGCCTTCAAAGTCATCCTGTCTGGAATTAAGTCAGCCTTTTGACTTCAACCTTTTGGCCAGCTTATCTATAAATAGAGACATCCTAACACAGGGACAAGCAAGCTACACTGGACCTCCTGGCTCTACATCAGACATCAGCACACTTTCCACGTAAAGGCCACAGAGTAAATTTGTTAGGTCTGAAGGCAAACCACTCAACTCTGCAAGTGAGGCACAAAAGCAGTCACAGATGAAAAATAGGTGTGGTTGTGCTCTACAAATCTTTACTTACAGGGAAAAGGGAATGGCCCATATATGGCCTGTGGATTACAGTTTGTCAACCACTGATACAGTGTGCTAATTAAATAAAAATCGTAAGTCCTGTGCCTAGCAGGGTACCTGGCACTCCACAGATGCTCACTAAATGTGAACTGCTAATCCAACTTCATCACATTACTGAATGGCATCTGGGACTCAAGAATGAAGTTTTTGCCTGAGGTTACACAAATAATTACAGGCAGAGCTAATATCAAAACACATTACCCTGTGGCCCCCTCTCAGTGCCACATGTAAATTAGTTTGGAACAGCTGACTATTAAACTGCAATAATGAAAAGAACTAGAGACTTGGATACAATTATACCTATCCAGAGTGACCTAAAACTGCCAAGGAAATACTCATAACTAGAAAAATATAGAATGTCTGTATTTGCAGTGGTTTAAAACTTCCAAATAAAATTCTAAACTGAATAGTATACACACTTGGTACTGAGGCAGTGGCATTTATGAAATTCCATCTCTACAAAATCCTAAGAGCCAAGCTCTGTCCTGTAGGTACCATCCAGCACTGTTAAACGAGTTGATGCTTGGGAGGATATTGACTTCACCAACTATAGTGTTTAAAAAATACACCGAGACAAATCAAATCTAGATAATGAATTCCAAGTTTACAGACTATGTTAAAAACAATCTATCTAAATATGCAAAGGTTCACTAGTTGGCATATATTAAAATGTTAGGAGCTACAACGAGTTTAGCAATTACAGCCTGATGATCTTAGTTTATAAATAAGGAAACAACAAGCCAGACAGATGACAGAGATAGAACTGTGACACTGTTCTGCTAACTTGGTCATCTTCCAACCTCCTGCAATTTTAGCTTCATTTTATTTTCTCAAATTATCCATCACCACTGGAAGCAGTTTTTAGCAATCGAAATGCTGGCCTCAGAGTGAGACTTGGAAGAGGAGTCAAAGTCCTCATTATAGAAGCTGAGCTCACTCTTCCCTCCTTCCAGTACTGGCTGCCGATCTTTCTCACATAACCTGGGGTCCCTGTTAGAACTAAGGTCTATCCTGCCATTACTCTAGCAACAAAGAAAAATTTTAAAAAGCCAAACACACAAAAATCCAGAGTTTACTTTTTAACAGATTTTCGCAGTTTTTGTATTGTAACTATGTTGAGAATCAGAAGTCTGAAGCTTGCAGAGTCAGGGGCCTCTTCATTAGGCTGGAAACACTATCTACTAACCAGGTAACCTTGGGCAAGGTACAACTTACTTAAACCTTCTGAGGATTTTAAAAGCACTTTTAAAAAAGTGTGCATTACTACACAGAGTTAAAGCCTGACTCTACACACTAGACAACTAGAGCAGAAAATAATGGAAATAATGGAAAATAATGAAGTAAAAAGTTCTGAATTATAAAGGAAAAGCCAACAACCCCCTTTATACAGAATGTATTTATGATTGTGACCCACAGTTATGCAGCCCCACTTGCTATATATACCTCCTTTCAGTTCTCCCACAATCTCTTGGGACTTTGTTCATGAGAAACCCTGCGCTATGTTCATCAGTTACCATTTTGGAAATCTGTCACCAAAACTCACACCTACCATCATCTTCACTTCTTTCTCCAGTCATCTCCACAGACTCTGAGAGTGAGGCCAAGGAGGTACGTCTGGAAGAAGCTGCAGAGGTCACACTAGCTTGCTTGCTCCCTGGGAGCCGGCTCACCCAATGCTCGCACAGGGAAGAACTCGTGGAGCCTGTGGAAAAGAGGTGGACATTGCTCAACCAGGGTCCAACAGTCAGACTGTGCTGCACCTACCCTTGAACTGAGAGTACTCATGTCCTCACCCAGAGGCTGACATACACTACCAGAGTCAAGTAGAAGATGAAGAAACGGAAGGCAGGGCCAACATATGAGATTTACAGGAGTAATAGATGCAAGAACAGGGAGAAACATTTCAGAATGCAATGTCTGAATCTTACAAGTTTACAAGAGAATGGAATATAAACAGTCATTCACACATTCATCCATTCCACCAATATTAAGCACTTCCAAGCCAGGCAGGCTCTGTTGTGAGCACGTGCAGTAGTATTTCTAATTCAAAGAGAACAAGCGATAGTACACTGTGTTTTTTCTTGACTTAATTGCCTTATGGAATTTAAGGAGCAGGAGATCAGTGTGAAAAATAGAGCCCAAGCTCTATTTTAGGCTTATCAAGCACATATGCAGTAAATGCTCTACCACTAAGCTGCACTCCCATCCCTTAATGGATATGTTTAACCATTTCATGATATTAATAATACACACACAAACCTAACTATGTGTCAATCTGTATTGGGATACCCTTAAATATTTGTGAGGACAACAAAAAATACTCTTGAAATGGACTACAATTTCAAGCAGGACCATCTTCAACTATACTCAACAGCATGTCATTTCTGAGCACCTCTCTGGAAAGCACAGAAGCCTTAGAGCACTGGAGCTTCCACATCCTGTCAGGAAATGAGCAGCTACACACTGGGTGGGTATGGCTCTAGCAAGCAGTCACTTCACTTAAATACAGTTCACTTTCAATGCTTTAAACTTAGTCTTCATAGGCTTAGAGAGGGGTAGAAGTCACCACTCTCTAGCCTATCATGTTGATACTTTACCATGTCACAGTGCAGTCCTCTGTCATGTTCTATTACAGTCAAACGCTGAATCAGGAACACATGTGCCCTTGTTTGGATCATGTGTGTTGCAAGCATACTGTGTATTGGTATTCACCGCTGTGTTTATTAATACAGTAGGCTAGACACCATGAGACTAAACACAAATCATGTACTATTATAACTCTCAATCACCCTACCAAAACAGGGCAATCTCTGAATTGGAAAAAAGACTATTTTTAATGGGTTTCCCTCTTTACAAAATGTTTTTCACATACTTTTACCTAATTTAGTGCATACCATGATCCCACAAGGTAGGTGTTATGATCACACATTAGAGATGATAAACACACGGCTTAGATGAAATATGTACCAAGGTAACCCAAAGTAGAGGTTTTGGAGCAGAATGCAAGGTTTCTTCTCCATTCATCCCATACACGCATCCCACAAGGAAACAATACAAGCCCTGTGTGCCGTTCTACATGAACTCTGCCAGGCCACGGGTTCCCTCACAGTTCATCCTCATGTCCTTCTCTATAATCACGTGGGTTTGCAGATTAAAGGAAAACATGAGAATTAATTTGATCAAACTGACAGTCATAAAGCTTCTGCGATCCTCCGGACCATGAATTACAATCTTCTACTTTGGGAAACACTGACTAAGAACAGGAGTCAGTCTTACCTGCCACCGAGCTGTTGGCTGACCATGATGGGATGGCCGTCCGCCTCTGGTAGAAAAGGATGTAGGCTGTCTGTGTGCACACTTCATCCTCTGACAGCTGCTGCACATCGCTGTCATCAAAGCAATACCAGAGACCATCCACAGAGTTCTTACAGTAAGCTGCCAAAAGGAGCCTACAGTTAGTACCAGGTGGATGACACACCCACCATGCCCTTCTACCCCCCACCAACACCATCTCTTTGGTTAATATAATTAATTCAAGAACTGTGTAAGCCTGTACCCAGTAACACAGAGCTTTTAAAAATCCAAATTCCACACCACTCTCAAGCAAAGTATTTTGAGAAATTCCAAATTATTCCTAGTAGACACATTTCTATTTAAACTTAGAAAACACAATATACTTATTTAAACCACTGCATCTCAATCATGGCAATTTTGCCCTGCAGGGGACATTCAGCAATGAAGGAGACATTTTAACTGACAAAACCAGATAGGAACATGCTATCAGCATCTAGTTGGTAGAGGTAAAGCATGCTGCTAAATGGTTTACACTGCACAGAACAGCACAGAATTATACAATCAGAATGTCAATAGTACCAAAGGTAAAAACCTTAAGCATTTAACATTCTAGTGTTTATTAGAGACACAAAATAATACAAATAGAATTAATATTAATAACCCAGCCCCTAACTTCTGTTTAACACGTCATATGCCAAGTGCCTCATTTTAATTCTAAGATTTGTTTTATTATTACTCTCAATTTATAGAGGTCCAAAAACACTCCCCTGCATGCCCACAGTCACACAGCTGGTGAAGGGCAGAGCCTAGCTCCTTTCCAGTTTCTCTAATCCTTGAGTTTAAACTTAAACCCTTTAGCAGGTAACACTTCGTGGAAGTTCCCCAACAAATTGAGAACATATAAACTAATAAAGAAGGCATTCTCTCCAATTCAAACTCTAAACTTAATAAAGAAATTCAGCATTCAAGTATCAACAAAAATTAAACAGTTTGGGGCTGGAAGCGTGGGCTTGGCATGCAAAAGGCCCTGGGTTTAATCTCCAACACACCTTTCTCACAACGCAAACTTAAGAGATCAGGAAGCCAAGTCACCCTGTAAGGATTTATAAATGAGTCTTACAAGTTTGATCCAAAAAGGCATATTACCATCACACTTTCTAAAAATATCCATTTACCAGAGTGAGATCAAATGATAGCTAGAATATCTCATTGAATGCCAGATGATATAGAATTAGTGTGGTCCCATGAATATTGCATATGAGGTTCTGACAGGTTTTAGAAGTGAATCCCTCAATAAGCCATACAACTTTAGCAACCAGACAACTAAAAGAGATAAAAGGGCCCCAGACAAGGAAGGATTACTATACCAGACAAGTCCCCAAAAGAAGAGCAGAAAAAGAATCTATGAACATGGAAAGGAATGACATTTGCAGCTAAGGACTTATCAGAACCAGAACTAGGGAGAAATGGAGATACAAGCAGCAAACAGAGCTAAACCTTGCTTGACCAATGGTTTCAGGTCAGGCCTGATGTATAGATGACCCAACTGGCAAGGAGTGGCAGCTCCTATTCTGGAATGGTGAGCAGGGGTAGAAATGTAAAGTGGGCACATGCCCAAGACAAGGGGGCACAATAACGCTGTTTCTTATTTCTCTGAAGGACAGTCTGTTCTCAAGCATGGCATGGAAAGTAAGGCAGTTAAATAACTCACTTGGGAGGAAATAATCTATTTACAAAAAAAAATTCTACTTGCTTTCCTCCCCAGCACTACCTTCTAACATGCTGTCTAGGCCAGTCCCACTTGAATTGAGTCTCAGACTGGCATTTGTCCACAAGAGAGGCACCAAAAACAGAGATAAGCGTTCAAAAGCTTTCACAGCAACTTGATACTGCTATAATGTTTTTATCACATTTTTACAAAAGTACTGGCTTATGAAGGATTAGAAAACTGTAAGTAGAAAAAAACAAAGTCTTCATCACAAATGGTTTGAGAAGCACTGTTCTAGAACCCTTGCACAAGTGAGCCATATCATATAACTATAGCTAGAACCAGTGCAAAATACAGAACACATCAGAACAGACATTCAACATTTAAAGTGAAAAACAGCATCTTTAATTCAACAATGCTGAAGGTATCTGAAGTGTTCTCTAAACTAAGATTCTAAACATTTTATATACCAGATAGCCAGAAGTATGTCTCAGGTACAGGAAAGGGAAAATAATATAAAAACTATCTGAGTAACTCCCAGGCAAGGGACTCCATGAGGCAGCCAGGCTCACTTCCTGATTACCAATATGAAAATCAAGCTAATGGAAGGTTATCTGGCCAAAATTATGGAGCCAAAAAGATGGGTCTTGCTTCTAATCTAAGGTCCTTTCACTAAAGTATACCACCTCTATGGATTTTCAGGCATTTTCCAAAGATTGTTCTAAATAAACAATAGGATATACCAAAACCTAATACTGTCCTTTTTTTATGTCAAGATTTCTTGCTCAAAAACACATCACAAGTCAGTGTATGTTTTCCTTAGGAACTATTACAAATGGAAAATGACTTCTTTACTAAAGCTTTAAGCTGGGTGAATACTGGTCAAAAATGCAGACCAGGTAAATCAATGAAATTACATTATTTCTAACCCTTTTTCCATTCTAAGAGGCTATGAGCATATAATTTCATGACTATCAAAGAACATAAATATTACTAGTAATGACACTAGTAATAAAAGCAAAAATCCAATTAGCAGAAATCTTACACAATTTATAAATATAGACATACAATATGTAAGACATTAAATAGGAATCATAAATTCAAATGGGTTTAAACCAAAGTACAAGGTAAGATGTGTTTAGGTATTTAATTAATATTTAGCCTTTCATGAAGCCAGAGCATCTCTGAAACCTATCTTCTGTTTCTCCTTCCAAGTGCTGCCTATAGCAAGAATAGGCAGTCCAAACTGTTTCATTATGACCCATGGAGAAGTTTGGATCATTTCTTTTGCAAACAAGTGTTGCCAGCATCATCTAAATATTTAAAGAGATTGAAAAAAAAGGATTTTAAGAGTAAAGGATGGCATCCAGTCATTTTCTTGATCTCCTGTCTTGGGAGAGGCAGAGAGAAGATGCTAAAAAAGGACTCCTGCAAGAGCTGGGAAGGTTGACAGATTCCTTTCCCTTGGTGATTGGCAACATAGGGATAGAAGTCCCACATCTAGTTACCTCCTCTTACCTTTTGAAATATATCGTCATTACTAATGTTCTAGGGTCTTGCTATAGAAACCTTAGAACTGATTAAGAAATAAAGTTCCTGAGAAGTATGCTGTGAAATATATTGGGTATAAAGGATACAGAAATCACAGTCCTGGCCTCCCATAAAGATAAACCCAACTTACAATATTATTCTCACTTCAATTCTCATATAAACAGATATCCAAGCAAGAAGCCCTAAAATCTGGCTTGCCTTCAAGTGGTTTTTGTATGGCCTTAATCCAACAATTCTATTTCTAAGACTCTCAAAGAAATTCAGAATTAAAAGTCAGAAAAAGTGAGTATACACAAAGATACTAGTGTTAGTTGATAGGAGCCATCTAAAAAATGTGATATTGGGCAATTTCATCATCTGAACATCACAGAGTGTAGTTACACAAAGTAAAATGGCTATGACAGCACTAGACAATTTACTCTTATAGGAACAGTAGGGTATACGCTGTACCTCTGTGACTACTCCCTCCTCTGGCCCCCTGCCTCCATCCATTGTTCAGATTTCCCACACAGAACCTACTACACATTACTGCAAGTTTTACTTGTCTCCCCCTACTTGATTATACTCCTGAATTCAGAGGTTGAGATAATATATATATTTATCTCCATGTGAAAGACATCACTGCAAGCTAAATACGAGGTGCTTAATGTTCCCCTGGATAGAACACACCAGCATAACTGCAACAGTGTAAAATAACAGCAACAATTTACAGAAAACACTGTAAGTATATGCCATAGGTGAAGTATATACAATGCTACATTATTCAGCCTTAAAAAGGAAGTAAATTTTGATGCATGCTACAACATGGATGAACCTTAAAGACATTATCCTAAATGAAATAAACCAGCCACAAAGAACAAATACTGCATGATTTCACTTACAGGAGTTACCTAGTTAAGTTCATAAAAACAAAGAGTATGGTGGCTGTCAGGGGCAAGAAAAGAATGGAAATTTTTCTTTAATGGTATAAAACAGTGGTGACAAACTTATGGCACAGATGCCATAGCAGGCTGTTTACATCACTGAAAGCTCTAAAATGTTTGCCATCACTGGTACAGAATTTCAGTTTAAAAACATGAAAAAAGTTCTGGAGATGTTTAACAATGATGGCTGTAAAATGTGAAAGTATTTAATACCACTGAATTACACATTTAAAAATGGCTAAAATGGTAATTGTACTATATATATATATTATCACAATTGTTTAAAATGTATACAATGGTTCTCTTTGAATAATAAGTCCATGGATCATAATATTCTTCTTTCCACCTCTCTCTAGTCTCTAAATTTCATATAATGAACAGAGTTGCTTCTATAAATGAAAAAGTAAGTTTATCCTTAAAACAAAAAAGAATAAAGACACTATTAAAAGTGGCTCAGAGTAATTGTAACTAACAGAGAAGCTAGAATCTCAAAGAAATAAAGCAAAACCTTAAATGAGTACAAATGGGGTAAACAGCATGACTCCCCGGTGGACCAGACAGTGCTATCCACACATAACTCTCCACTCAGACCTGATAACTACCAAATGATCCAACTCAAGATGAAGAGGAAGATTTGTAACATACTCGCTTTTGGATAGAGACCTCAAGGATAAAACGGCCCTCACAACTGGCATACTGCCCACTGGAAGAGAAAGGGAAGTTCTAAAAGCCAAATAACCCTATGATAAGCCAAACCCGCCTATAGGAATGTCAGCACAGACACGCGGCCTCTCACACTGCAGACCTGTGTAGTGCCCCCCTTGCATGGTGCCATGATGATTGCACACAGCATACAGGTCATAGATGTAGTCCTCAGGGTCTCTCCCGAGTCCGTAAGGCCGTCTCCACGGGGACCAATGGGATGGCAAACTCCAGCTGCTCTGGCTTCTCTTAACCACATGAGGAGTCATGTCCAGGCCATTCAAGGGGAATTTGACCATGTTCTGAAGTTTCATACGCTTGTCTCCTTCCTGTCACAAGAAGAAAAACAAGTTCAAATAGCAGATCAGTTCATGTAAAATATGGATGATTTTTGCTAAAGCAGTCTGAGTCACCTATCTAAAACTTCCCAAGACATACATTATAATAGGGAAACTGTCTAGAGTTTTCACTGTCTAGAGCAGTGAGTTTTCACTGTCTAGAGCAGTGATGACAAACCTTTCAGAGCTTTCAGTAATACAAACAGCCCAATGCGGTACAGGTTCACCACCACTGGTCTAGTGGAACAGGTTTCAACACAACTCAAATGGAATCAGTAAAAAATCTACACACAAACAGTAAATGAACCCCTCTTGAGTCTTCATTTCCTTATTTGTTAAGAGTTTTAAGGTTTTTAACTTATAAAACAATGGACAATTTCAGGTGGTTATGCTGAGACATCTTTTAGAGAGGCATGAGAATTAATGGAGTGGTAACTCCATGAAGGACACACCTTTCTAGTGGCTGTGCCAGAGGAGTCACTCAATGAGCAGGGCCCTTTTCTCTCTCCTTCAACAAATACATTACAAGATCACATTGACTTAGCTTAAAATATTCATTTAACTGACAGTTCTGAGTAATTTGTATTTTCTATTAAGTGCACAGGAAAATCCTTTGAAAGCCCCCCAACCATTAGTTTAATAGATATTTATACATGTTTTCTGAATCACAGAAGCTTTACAAAACTAATCAGGCATAGATATGCCAAACCCTAGAAGCTACAGATCTATTAAAGGAAGAAAAATATGAAAGATAGGAGAAAGAGCTCTAAACGGTTGGGAAGGCTAGGCTGAAGACTGTGGACCTTAATCTCTGGTAAAAGGGGAAGCACTGAGGTTTTTAAAGAAGAGGTGATGTCACTGGAGTCCTCTGTGAGCAGCAAGTAATATATGTTAGAAAGCAGAGTGATGAGGTTAAGAAATCAATTTTAAAAACACTGTAATTGCAACCAGCTGGAAAATAACAAGAAGTCTCAAATAGCCGGGTAACAGCAGAATGAACACAAGGACACACATAAAGATTCTGCAGAGAGCCACAGCCAAACTGCAAGTGACTGCCTAAGTGAGAAGGATAATAAAGAGTCAAAGATAAGACTCAGTTCTAGGTTTCTGGAAAGGAGAAGATATGCTTTCAAAGAAACCAAAAAAAAGGGAAATCAGTCCATGTAGGAAGGAGACACCGAAGACTGGCATCCAAATCCTCAACCAGCTTTCCCCTTGTGGAGCCAAAGGGGAACTATGCTGAACACTGATTGCCTAAGCAAAAGCGCTCATGTCTGAGGACCGCGTGTCATCACTGCCACCTCTACTTCCTTGGAGGTCCTGCCCCTATCTCAGCTGATTCACATCTCCTGATCCCAAACCAGCAGCATCCTTCCCCAGATGACTGCCCTGGCCTCCTCCTGCTCTCCCTGGCTTCATTCTTACAGTGTCTCTCTCATCAGTTCTCCAGACAGGAGCCAGAATGACCCTTCCAAAAGATATCCCAGCTCCACCACCATCCCACCTCTGGAACACCAGACTAGTGCCCTGCTTTCAGTCTCACATAAGTGCTATGTTCCTCCAGACCCCAGCCTCTGGAGACACTGCTCCCTATGTCACTATAAGCAAGCATCCCAGCTTCCATATTCACTGGAAAACACCTGCTCATCTTTCACAGACATTCTTTTTTTTTGTGCGAGGGATCAAACCACAACCTCACGTTTGCCAAGCAGGCACTTATGCTGCTGAGCTAAAACTCTGGCCCCCACACACGTTCTTAAAGCCAAGCCTATACTCTGTTCACCTCCCATTTACCTTTCTTGCTAACAGGATTGTCTAAGACAATCATGATCTCAGACAATAGACAAGTTTTCTTTTTTTTTTGAAAAACTGATACACAAAGCAATACAATAAAGAGCAATTCTTCTTTGTACGTATTTATGACTCATCTCTTCAATAATACAACAGCTCCATGGGAGCAGGATTACATTCACTACTACATTAGATAGAAATAGAATTCTTTCCCCTACAGAAAGGATCTCTGGTTTTCGTTTTATAATACCAAAATAAACATACTAAACATTAAGCGAAACATTTACAAGTTTAAAGTAAACTCATAAGACAAAGTAAAACATCTGCAATATAAACTAAAATGTTTAGGACTTAAAGGGTAAAGAATGCTCAAATGTTGCTTCAGGAAAGAAAATGACAACTCCAAATAGGGGTAAATGTGTGACAATACATACCGAGACAGGATAACTGGATCAAACAGGGACACCAAAGACCCCACATACCACCACCAGGAGAGGGCACAGGAAACTCAGCCATGCTAGCCTTTCCCTATGACAGATTTCCTTACCTGGCGAAATCTCTTGAGGTGTATAATAAGCACATCAGGCAGAGTCCACAGGCTTAATGTAATGCTCCCCTGCTGTAGCTGCTTACAGTGTGGGCAACGCCAGGCATCATCTGGGGCAAGCTGAAAACAAGGAGCATGATTTTTGTTATGTACTGCTTCATGTAAGACTTTGAAAACACAGACTAACTTCTTGCCCAGGTCTTGGGTAACTCAGAATCTCCCTGGAAACTGCCCATGAGGAAGGCAAAGGAATAACAAGCACAGTCACAAGTGGCACTGACGAAGAGTTTGCACCTGAATGTGTGCCAACCAGATCATCCTTCAAAGAGGAACAACTAAATTGGTAAATACTATAGAGAAGATGTTAGGCAGCACAGAAGCATCCCAGAGTCAATATACTCCCACATTCAACTCATTATCTTTCCATCAACATAGACCCCCCTTCTGTTCCTGCATGTCCTCTTAACAAATACCAGTGCTGCCCACCAAAGATGAAAACACACAGAATCACCCCAAACTTCCCTTTTCTTGCTCTATGTCCAATCAAAGTAATTCACTCTGCCATTTCTTGTACCTGTCTCCTCCTCTGTGCTCACTAACACCACCTTCACTCCAAGTCCTCACTCACACTCACCTGGACTTCATCATGTCCGTTTTTTCCTCCAAGCACTGAACTCTTCAAATAACCCTCCCCTCTTGCTATCAACAAAGTCTTCCTAAACATCAAGCTAAGGCCCCAAAATCCATTTATATCATCTCTGCAGGACAAGGTTCAAGGTTAGGATGTATGAATTCAGAGGTGCTAGTACATGAAAAATGTACTCTGTATTCAGAAGATATACCAGATCTGAGATCATCAATATGGTAAAGGAATTCCTGGGAATGGATGACAATTCCTACTGAAATGGAAAGAAGCCAAGGATAGATTTTGGAATGCATGTTTTAAAGGGAAACACCAAAACTCAGAACCACCAGAGCCTTCAGATGCATAGTCCAAGCCTTCAGATACACAGGACAGCACCATGCTCGAGTGCTGCCAGAGTGGGGACAGCCACACTCAAGCCTCTCTCCATGACTCAGCACCATTTGCAGACTGTGCAGAGAGAGAACCAGGCCTCCCAAGGAGGTAATCCCCACCTGGAATGATTTTCATTGTTTTCTTGGGTTGGATTTTATTCTCTTTTGTTTGATTATGTTAAATCTGATGGTATGAGCAGCTATTTAAAAGATAGCAAGACATTATGGTAGCCATTTTGGATTTACTATTAGCTTATTTTGAAGTCCTTACTGCATTCATTGTTTTGTTTTTACAGTTTCTATTCTATTCTGTTCTGTTTTATTTTTACTATGTTCAAAGGTATCTGTAGCTATTTTGAAGATAACAAAAGGCATTATGGTAACTATTGCAGATTTCATAAGGTTTTGAAATCCTGTATCACTTTAATAGTAGTTTACTTTGATTGGTTTTATAGTTTCATTTTCCTTTGTTTTATTCTCTTTAAAATAAAAAAATAAACTAAAACAGGAAAATTACAAGATTACATACCAGAAAAAAAATGAATGGCAATGGGTGGTCAGCCCCTCCACATTCAAGACAGAGATCAAATTGCAGCCTAAGCAGAGGCCACTGAACTCAACAAATTAGGAGCTACCAAGAATTGTAGCAATCAATATAAAAATGCAAGTCAGAGACATGATAAAGGGCAAGCAGGAGACGGAGGGGGGCAGAATATGGGACCACTCAAGATAAAATGGGCAGAAGAAAGGAGAAAAACTGGCATCATAAACTGAAAGAAAAGCAGAACTAAGAGAACTTTGTTTTTATGACAAGGAGACTAGTTATGTTTGCAAGAAAGATAGGGAAGGACAGATCTTTAGGTAGATGGGAGTAAATCGGAAAAACTGAAACTAAACTGCTATCTGGTAAGCCCACATCTCCATGTGACATATTAAAATTCCCTGCAATCACCATCCTACCAATGCTTGTGTTATAGAAGAAACAGGTTTTGGCTTAATTCTAATATATTACAAACAGATACTTGCACAAAATATGATAAGAATGTTGTGACAACATCTAACACTGAAAGTTTCTCAGATGCTTCTCTGGTATCTGTAATGATCTCACTGTACATTGCTGAAAAGCTCTCATATCTGTAGACCACACTCTGAACATCCCAACTCCTCCTCTTCTATATTTATACTGTTATTTTGGGCCTTCCAAGGAAGGGAACTAGCTCAGCAGATAATGATTCTATTTGCAGATGGTCTGCCACAAAGGTCTTTGATGTTTAAGACAAATCACTCACCTTGTTATTTACAATCTTTAGATTTTGCCTTTTATAGAAAATTAAGTTTAATCCTTTGTCAACAGACAATACTTAACAGTGCCTGAAATTAATATCAGATCCCCGTAAGGCCTTCTGTGTCAAAATATACTCTTTTAATCATAACTTCCAGGCACCCCACTCACCACACATTAGAGACTGCCCCCGGTTGCCATCTCTTAAAGTAAACATCTGAAGCAATTAAAGCAGTAGTGCTATCACTATCAGAGCTTTGGGCACTGTTCCTAATACCTCAGGCAGCACAACAATGGCTCACACTCTTGTGGCACTGCTTATCGACATTGAACATACAGACAATTATACCCCAAAGTTACTGTCATACAGCCTTCTGTTAGCTAAGTCCTTCCTCCTCCTCTCCTATAGTTGTAGTATTATTTTGGGTTCAATATTTAACTTTCCAAGTACTGTTCATGTATCCAGTACATGTTTATAAACATTTCCCATGTGTTCTAGAATACTAGAATTATTTAGTTACAAAGACAATTACTGCTCTCATAGAGCTTATACTGTCTTAACTCCCTCCTTTAACCTCTGGTGTTCTCAGTCACAGGGTCTCGTTTCTGTTTTATAACCACGGAATCTCCTTCCTACCCCATGATCTTTGCTTCCACCTAAATGAATGAACCCTCTGGAAACTATCTTGTTAGCATCAGCTTATTCTAGGCCACTGAGATGTTTGTGAACACCAGTGCTGTTACTTCTAACCTTTGTGGAATTATTCTTTAGTATTTCAAAAGTCATGTATTTATCTCTTAAGAGATAAACAGAAACACAGTGCCACATACACAGTCTACTTTCTCAGTAGTCACTTTCAAAGCCAGCTACTTTATAATTATGCCCAAAGCTGAGAAAACATGTCTCATAAAAAAATACTATTAAAGGAAACAGCTATGATGAATAGTTTGGAAGTGAGAAGATTCAGTCAGAATATGAAAACTATTTTCACATAATTGAAGAAAAGAAGAAAATGATGAGTTTTAAGTATGAACAAACTTGAGAGACCAGGACACATTTCAGGTTAGTTGTAAACAGGACATATTTCAGATTAACTTCAGTCACCATCAGAGTTATCCAAAGAAAAAGTGGTACAGGCAAGCTCCTCAAAACAGAAGATACCTGTAAGTGGAACTATCCATCTGAAACTAAGTAGACAGATGTAACATTACAAAATAAGTTTCAAAGTACCCTCTGATCCTGAAATTATGCCATTCCCTATGTACAGAAGTGAAGTCTAAAAACTAATGGTCAAAATTATTATACTAAACATCAATACAAGATTAGATAAACTGCAAGAGCTCTGTCAGTGCTTCTCAAGGCACATTAAAAACACACAGGCCTAAAACTCACACACACAGACTTATCTACCCCTCTATCTGTCCATCCATTCACTTGAATATTTACTGAATCCTTAATATCTGCAAAGTACTGTGTGCTATGTGCTCCAAAGCACTACTATCCTATAGAGCTTTACATCTGCACTGTTCAGTATCAAAGCTATGCATGTCTATTAAGCACTTGAAACAGGGCTTATTTAACTAAGGAAGAGAATTTCTGATTTTTTGTTGCTTTAATTAAATTTAAATGGGTCCTCACACCTAATTCCTCAGTACTTAGGTAATAAGTTGAAAAACATTTGTTTTTGTCATTTAAAAAAATAATTTAAAACTCATAGAAATCATTAATTATCAAAAAGAAAAAAATTACAAAGATTCATTCCTAGAGCATTCCAATCTAACAAAAATCTAAATCACTTTCTGTAAAAGTCCTACAAGGAATAGCACTAACATGCAAACACAAAATCCTGGGGAGTTTTCTGGGGCAGATTTTATTTCTCCATTGTCATCTTGCCATGCCCTTGTCTACTACTGTCAGCATCCAATGGCTGCTGCCCAATCTCTTACTCGTTCCTCTTTGGTGTACAGTTGGAAACACTGAGATAAAGTGCAGGTCTGAGGCTGATGATGACGCTCCTTCTGTAGACGGACACTTTCTGAGTCAGGGATGTACTCATCTTCAGTATTTATAAACAAGCTACAATTAGAGGACAAAGCACTATCAGTCTCTTACAGAAGAGACAAAAAAACATAATTATAGCTTTACAAAGTACTTAAGAATTCATAACAAAAAAAATCAAAACTGGTCATCCAATCCCTCTAAATATTACAAAATGTTCTAGAAAAGATCTCCATCTGCAAAATTATCTCAAGAACTAAATTGAGGTTAATTTTTCAAGGATTATCTGTGAACACTGCTGACTAAAACATATCTGTCCATTGTACCTAAGAGCATACATTTGATATAGCTTACTAGCATTGTCAGGTCAGTAATAAAAATCAAAGTAACTGCACCTATATAGTAGTAAGTATACAGCTTCTGTCTCAGCAGCAGATAAATGTTCTAAGACTTTCAGATAAAGAAGACTATAGGAAAGGAAAAATAGCCTGCTTAAAAAGGATTAATAACAAACTTAGCTAAAGAGATGAAAGATTTATATTCCAGTTACTAAAATAACTAAAACAATGTCTGAATAGATATTAAGTTTAAAAAAATACTTACAAATCTTTTGTCTCCTTGTCCCATTCTACTACTAATTTCACATGAGCAGTACCACCTGGCCCACAAGATTTTAATGCTCTATAGAATAGGAAAACCACATATTACCATCTAAAAGCTGGTGTTACTTAACTGTGATTATGTTCTTACCTAGAACCCTGTGATTACTGAAAAATCTTGCTCACAACTCCCCAAAAGAAAACATTTTTAGTGAGATCATCATGTAATGGATTTAGTAACTCATTTACTTAGAGGGCTGAAAATTTTTTAAATTAAAATGCCCAATAGAGAATAAAGAGGCCAAAAAAAATTGGTATCACATTGTAAGTGCCCTCAATCACTCTCAGATGTTCTTTATCGCCTTTCTGATTTTTGCCCAATTTCTTACCCACACAGAGACTGAACAGACATTTCCTGGAAGGGTCTGCTCTCCCACTTCTCCACCTGCTCCACACTCCACACTCCACACTGGTGCCCATGCCAACTTACACTGTGCCTGCCTCCTCCCTCCTTCATGAAAGCAACACTCTCCACCCCCACGCACTGGCCACTGCTGCTTCTGAGAAAATGTTTTAGCACTCACAGCTAACATCACTCATTTAATCTTTCTTATGTTGTACAATACTTTCGATTTAGTTTAATCTATTCTCATCTTTAAAATCAAACCAGGGGCTATCAAACAGAACTATGCTGTACAGTTTATGTAAATTCTAAAATCCAGAGACTATAATACCTGTTGAAACATATAATAAAAGCATGAATTTCCAATTTATTTATCAATTTATATATTAACATATATAATTTCACTAACACAATACATCATCATAGATATAATCAAAATATGTAGAAAGCATGAGGTAGTAGCAAAGAAAAGTAATTAATCCTATGGGAAGAAAAGAAATACTATCAAATACTTCAAAGAAATACAGACCCAGAAACCCATATATACAAAGGCACATATAAAGGAATATGTATTTTCAAACAATACTTTGACACTAAAGGAAGTTTAGGATAATGGGGAAAGAAAAAGCAAAGTCTGATAAAAAAAAAAAAAGTAATCAGACTTCAAACTGAAAAATTTCCCATACTGCAGGAACCCTTCTCCACTGATGGTGGGAGTGTAGACTGGTGGAATTACTGGGGAAATCAGTGTGCAGATTCCTCAAAAACTAGAATTAAAGGTTCTATTCAACCCAGCTATTCCCTCTCTTGGTTTCTTCCTAAAAGAAAAGCACCATGATATTTGAATACTCATGTTTATAGCGGCACAGTTTGTAATAAACCAATCTTGGAAACAGCACAAATGCCTATCAACTGGTGAATAGACTGAGATGTGTTTTTTATGCAATGGAGTACTACTCTGCTATAAAGAAGGATATGCTTGAAACATTTCTAGGCAATGGATGCACCTTGCAACCATAGTATTAAAGTGAAATAAATTGGACACACAAGTATGAATACTCCATTGATTCTCTGCTGTGAGAAACTGAAAGTATAAATATGGACCAAAATGTATAACAGACAGTGAAATAGGAAGAAAATGTTTAAATGGGAAGGGACAGTAAGAGAAGAGGGAGGGGAAAGGGAAAACTAAAACAAAGAGAAAAGAAGTAAAAAATGGAAACAAAGGTTTTGTAAATAAAGAAGGAAAGAAGGGCTGAAGGGAGGGTGGGAGGATAGAGAAAAAGAATCAACTCATATCATGTACAGGTACAAATTCCCTATGATAACTGTGATCATTATGTACACCTAACATGTACTAATACAAACCATTTTCTTTGAAGAAAAAAAATTCTTGTACTGTAGCACCTGGGCTTTATCTTTTAGGCCATGAGTTGCCATTTTAGGGTTTCAGGGAAGACCAAGTGAGCTACTCTGGAAATCTCTTGATAAACAAAAGTGTAATTTATCTGTAGTCCCAGGTCATACTTAATTTGCTTCCTTGAGTGCTCCACAGTTTTTCTGATTGAAAAAAAAGTTCACAGGGGGCCCAGATTTAGCTCAGTGAAATAAGCACCTGCCTGGCAAGCATGAAGTCATGAGTCTGATGCCTGGCACCAAAAAAAAAGAGTTCATAAACTTCATACTTAAATATGAATAAAAACTAAATTTTTAATTTTTAAATAAACTTGAAACACCTAACACACTTATACAGGAATTATATAGTGCATCAATTTAGATGACACATGACCATATGTGAAATTCCAAAAGGTGATTTTTTTTCTTACCTTTCTACTGTTGGGTGGCATAAGGGCTGCTCCTCCTGTGGCAGCAAGTACGTTATTCCCACAACACTGACCACACGCAAACTGAAGGGACACACCTGCATCAGATATCCAGTGGAAATTGGACTGAATTTCTCTTCAAGTACATGTTTTACGGTGGCGTTATTGCAAACCGTTCTGTAAAATGCTTCTCTACAATATTGTTAGGTTGCTGAGCCATCCTAATATATTTTAAATATGATTTACCCAAATACAAGTTATATATCAAATGTTATAGAAGACAAATAATACCCTGCCTGCGCCGCACATTGACTTAAACAGTCTTACACAGTTATCTTAGCACAGTAATAATATTTTAAATGTATAAATAAAGGTTCTAGTACAATCTCTCCAAGATAAACACATACTAAACTTTTATAAATATTGTAAAAGACACAGCAGTTTAAGGAAAATCCTAGAGCAACCAACTAGTTCCTTTTATAAAATGAGGGATACGTTCTCAGTTTGAAAATCCATAAAACGAATTCAAATTTCATTGTAATAACTGTTTCCTCACTGAGTATGTATGCTGAGACAACAAAATATTTACACACCTGAATGCAAACAGTAGGCCTCAAGAAATACTTCATCTTTTCCAAGATTTCCTTCTGTAAAACGTCCCATGCTACTGTCTTCTCCAAGTGCAAGACAAAAGGCAGTCCAAATCTACCACACATAAATACTATAATCACCTTAAAAGTACAGCAATCCCTTATGTAATCACAATATAATTGATTTGAGGATAAAATCAAACAGGAAAGTCAACAGTAACTCCACAAAGAGGTGATGAAAAAGTCAAAAGAACAACTTAAGATTTTTAACTAAAACTGAATGCTTATATACCAAAATGACGTCAAGGAAAATAATGCTAGGCTATACGGTAGCAAAGAGAAAGTATTAACAGTGACAGTGAGAAACAGATGTAGGAGTGGCCAGGATCCTGGGACACAGTGTGTCAGGCAGTGTGTCCTACAAGGAGTGAAGTAACACAAGAAAAGTTAGGTCTGGAAGGGCTAATGGGCAAGCAGTCATAACCCAGTAGTCAGACAATAAGGGAGGTAACAGCAAGCAAGTGATACTGCCAGTGAGCTGCAACCTCAGAGCAGAAGCTGCCTGGCCTTGGCCAGGTCCCTGTGGGCAAAGGAATCAGAAGCAGTACTTGGATTCTCAGGCTTAGCTGCATACTGCAAGTACCAAAGCAGCATCAAAAAAGTGGTGCCCAACTCTAGTCTCAGGTGAGACTTTTTTCTAACAAAATCACCTGGAATGTGGCTCAAGGATTTCTTTTTTTCAGGTGCTCCAGGTGGTTCTAATATGCAACTGAAGTTGAGAACCACTGGTCTACCCTCAACTCTCATATATGTCCTCATCCTATGGTGGCAAACATATGGCAGGTGTCCCACAGCAGGCTACTTGCATCATTAAAAGCTTTAAAGGGTTCATCATCATAGCCCTAGTCATTCAAACCTAAACACATCTAAATGTGTCCCTGTCTTACACATCCAGATCTTTTTTCACTAAGCCTGGAATACCCCTCCCAACCATCTTTTAGGCACCCACATGAAGGCCCAATGAAGTATCTTTCTCCAGGAAGCACCCTGTTCGTGTGCTCCCTGTATGGACTACAGCACTAATTACACTTTACTGTATCTGCCTATCTACACTGTTGTCTCCACCAACAGACTGCATTATCTGACAGGCAATAACTGTGATTTACTTATCCTAGCAGCAAGAACAGACAATGCCTAAAAAAAATAGTTGACGGTGAATGAATGAGTGAGTGAATGAATGAATGACAATTTATCTAACTAACAAGTGAACTCTGGCTCACGACCAGGCTGAAGCAAAGTGCTAATACTGCCAAAAATCCTTCCTAAGAGCCATCTAGCCATTTGCTTATAGCACTACTTAATAGTGAGCCGAGCCATCTAAAAACTACTGATATGAAATGAGGCCTATGTAACCTATGTTTTTCATACAACACTATCCTCACTCTTTTTTTATTAGTATATGCTTGCAGTATGTAATAATCACAGTCATCATGGGTACATGGTATGTGTAACACATCCTGATTCTTTTTATTTCTCCCTCACTTCTCCTTTCCCTCCATCTCTAGATTCTCTTCCCATCTCCACTGCTACTATCTTTTGTTTTGCTCTTTGCATTATTTAAACTTAGGGTTTCTCATATAAGAGAAGCCATGCAATATATAAGCTTATGAAGACACGGTCATCACTCTTTAAGAGACACAGAGAGGATTCCATAGCTATTGCATATAAATTGGATGAGCTACCTTTCTTCTTTGCCTTAAACATGCCTCTTTCTTTCTAACCTTAATGACTGCATTCAATGTTCCGTCTACACAGGATCCTCTCCAGGATGCTCGCATAGCTCTCTTTCTTCCCGCTATGTCTGGCTACAGCCTCCTCAGGACACCTTCTCAAGTTCCCTTTCTAAACAGACCTGCTAGCCTCTCTTCATTCCCATGTATGCCTTCATTCTAGCTTGTGCTGATGTTTTCAATATGGTGACTTGTCTCAAGTTAAATATGTTGGCTTAGGTATGCTTACAACTAGAATGCAAGCTCCTGGACGATACACGATCTGTTTCATTCATTGTTGTATTCCCCAGGGTTTAGAACAATGCCTCACACACTACAAAACTAACATTTTTGCTAACAAATATCATAAATATATGGATCAAGACATTTTCAATTTATGCAAGGAATCTATTTCAAAGCAAAATTTTTAAAGATTCAGATGAAGAATACCCTGAAAAGTATTTTTAAAATAAGAGTCCTTTATCCCTGAAACACTTCTAATTACTACTCAGGTAACAATACTGCTGTAATAAAATTGCTTTAAAAAGACATTCTAAATCTCCCCTAGTTTCCTACAGAAGGCAGCAGATGAATATAAAGGAAATTTCTGCCTCCAAAATTTAGGAAGGCATCTGACCTTGAAAGTCTATTTATTGGAAAATAAGGTGGCTTTCTTCACCTCTTCCCCTGCTGCCCAGTGCAGGCTCTGTTACACACCAACAGAACAATCTTGTCACTTGCGGCTCTGGTGGCAGGCTGATCCACTTTCCCTTGCTTTGCTGTTGTTTGTGCAGCAGAAGACAATCTATGGTGATCCAAGCCAAATTTCAAGTGGTTTAGATTGTTGTTTAAGTGAATTCCTGAAATAAAACAGCTTGTTTTATCTCTTCAAAATTTTCATTCATTCTTGACAAATGAATTGACTCTAAAGATTAAAACTAAGAAATTGTCTTTATATAATTTAAACTGCAATTTGAAACAGGAAAAAATACTCTACTGGAAGATTACTTACTTGTCTAGCCATAAAAGTAATTTTTATCATCCATTACGTCCTTTAAATTGGCCTTTTAAAAAAACTGAAAATCAAGAGCTAGGGATTTAGCTCAGTGGCATAAGCACCTGCCTGGCAGGTACAAGGTTGTAAGTTCAACCCATGGTGCTAAAAAAAAAAAAAAAAAACTGAAAATCAAAACTTTACACTCTTAAATGTCAGATAGTTTTAGATGTCCCACCAATAAATCTCAAAAGATATTCAATAACCAGCAATGAAATACATTTCTAAACAATGAAGACAAGGCCAGTTAGAATAGTCTACAATGTTCCAATTGTTTTCTTGTTCCTGATTAGTATTTTAAAAAAAAAAAAAAAAAAGACAAAACTGTACTTACTAGATCCAGAGACATTATGAGAATGCCAACTTTAATAAAACCAATGAAGCTGGATTAATCCACATTAGAGGGAACAAAAATATGTTTGGCAGGCACAGTGGTCTTCATACTACCCTAAAGCAGAGTTCTCAATAAGAGATACCCAGCAAATCAGCATCTAGCACAAGGCTCTACACTTAGTCAACAAATACCTGATTGAATATCTATTCATTTCTTTAATCCTTTGGAAGTTTATTGCTTAATAACGTGACATCTCAAATGGAGAACAGAAGAAAGGCCCTACCATCACTGTCATAAATAATAACACCACCACAATGAAAATAAAAGAAAAATGGATTATAGGAAAGTATTCAGGGCTGAGCATGATGCATGCCTGTAATCTCAGCACTTGGGAGACTGAAGCAGGAAGATTACTGTGAATTCAAGGCCAATCTGAGCTACATAAGTGAGTTCAAGACCAGCCTGCACTACATAGTATACACTGCCTCAAAACTAGCCAAACAATATAGTATTCATAGCACAATTCTGTCAGTAATCTAAAAATCCAGCAATACAAGACTTGCCATTAAGATATATCACAATTATAGCAATTTGAAGTATACAGTTAAAACCAAAATAAATTTCAGATAGTTTTTAAAAAAAAAACACAGAGATACTAAAATTAAAAAAAAACTGAGTATCAAGCCACTAGAGAAAAGAATATCTTTAAACTTAAAATACTCTAAAGAAATCACAAAATGAACAAGAATAGACTTTACTTCATAACCATTTTAAAGTTCGTAAGAGAATATAAAGATAACTGAAAACTAAACCGGAAATAATGACATTTGCTAGGTTATTAGCAGAGGTAAGAGTAGGAAGACCTGTTCTACAAGTGATCAGGGTTCCTAAAATGTTATTTGATTGCACAGAAATCAAACTCTGTGCTCAGACTATAAACCAGTCTACCACCAGCTGTATGACCCTCATTTGCAAAGTGAGAAAGCAGTAACCTCCTATATGCTAAATAAAATATTCCTAGGGTCTTTAGATCAGAGGCTAATAACATTAGTAGTGTATCTTTCCAATAAAGTCCTTCTCTGGCTAGAAGGATAACCTCTGGATTTCTGAAATTTATTTAAATAGAAACTCAATGTTAGCCCTAAACAACCAGGAGTGAGGAAGGGAATACTAGGAAATTTTCAGTTGAACAATTATTAGCTGGGCTCTTGCTGTATAAGAACTGCCGGGTATAGAAAAATAAAATAAAAATGATTACAAGTGCAAAGAAGTCCAGTGCAGTAGAAAAAGCAAAGGAAAAAAAGGTCGTTTCAACACAGTCATGAGAATGTGAGGTCAGCAGAAGTTACGACTGGACAATGGAAGAGCAGAAGTTAGCAGACCTAGGAGTTGAGTGGGAGCTAGGGGAGAGAAGAAAGACTCTCTGGACAAAGTAATGACTGGATATGGATGGATGGACATGGTTGGAGACAGACACACACACACACACACACACACACACAGAGACATGTCATAATACAATGAAGTTAGAAAATAATTTAAACAAACAAAGGTATATGAATGCAAGTGAAGTGATTGGAAGATAAAAAATAAAAGCTACTGGGCCAAAGGAAAATCAAAACCAAATCAAATTAGACCTTCTAGAAAATAATAATGTAAATATAAGTAGATCAGACAAAACTCAATCCTAAACTGACAGTGGAGAAAGCTGACCAACTTACTACACAAAACCACTAAAAAGTTCAAAAAATAAGAGTTTCAGAGGCCCCTGAAAATAGAAGCTAAAAAGAAAAACTAAAATAAAGGACTTTCAACAGGGGTACCAAGACCAATCAATGAGAAAAGAAAAGTTGTTTATGCAAATGGTGCCTGGATAACTGACTACACACACGCAAAGGAACACAGTTGGGCCCCCACCTCACACTAAAATTAAACAAAAATTAATTCAAAATGTATCAACAACCTAAAAATAATGGTAAAAACTATAAAACTCTTAGAAGAAAATACAAGAGTAAATATAACCTGGGATTTGGCCATTGATCCTTAAATAAGACAGCACAATCTTGAGCAATGAAAGAAAAAATTGGCAAACTAGATTTCATTAAAATTAAGAACTTTTGTGTAAACAACAACAGAATGGAATAAAATATTTGCAAATCATTTATCTAGGAGCCAGTATTTGTACACAGGTTTATAAAGAATTCCTATAACTAAATGAAAATTCAATGAAATTTAAAGTAGGAAAAAAAGGTGAATAGAAATTCTCTAAACAGGATATACAAATAGCCAACAAGCACATGAAAAGATATTCAACATCACCTAGCATTCCCCAGAAAAAAAGACCTAATTGATCTAAAGATGGGTTCCAGGTATCTGTTTCACTTGTTTTTTAAGCTTCTCAGATGATTCTGGTATGCAATGTAGGTTAAGAAAAGAGACTCAAAGTCATTACTAATTACTGGCCAAACTACAAGTTAACAATATTGAGACAATTAAAGGAATCTCAAATTCAATCAGTAATTTCCTAGGGTCTGAGTTCTGTCAGGTCTGTCTCAAAGATCTTGCCCCTTTCTATCCCATTCTTGATTTCATCTCCTGTTGACACTGTTTTCTATTAGAAATATGTTTTCTCTGTTTCAAGTCTGGACAAACAAGATAGAAACTTTGTAACACAACAGGTCTGATAATAACTACAATGAGTCAACACTTACTCCTCACTGCTCTTCATATCTTACTGCTCTGGGCAGAAAAGCCAAACTATTAAATAAGAAATATAGAGTAGGGAAGGTTTTTTAAATATTCTTGATTTCAAAGTCATTGTCTTTTATATTATATATATATATATCCTTTGAACATAATATTGGTCCATAAATTATTTTTTATATGAAAGGATACTATATCTGTAACATACAACTTCCTCCTTCTAGGCAGAAACTATCTCATTTATCTTTGTATTTTTAGTACCATATCCAGTCTAAATCTCTTTTTTTCTTAGAATTTTTTTCTTAGAATTTCTAACTAAAGTTTTACAAAGCCTGTTAGCAATAGTTTTTTCCTTTAAAAAATTATTTTGGAGATTTAACTCTTTCACTGGTTTTCTATCTTAAACTTATTTATTACTACTTTTAATTTCTCATGAATAGCTAAATATGAGGAACACAAACCCCTGTAATAATGAGATAAATACAGAAAGAAAGAAAAAAAAAGGAATATAAGAATAGTGATTTATGAGAGAGACCAAGATGGTGGAGCAGTAAGCAGCAGAGAAAATAGCCTCTCTGAGGATCACCATCCAGACACTGGTATATATCACCGTGACGAAGGAAGAAGGAAGGAGGTGGGTCCCCTGGACCCAAGAACAATCTGAAGTGAGAAGTGAAGCCCACAGCGACAGGAAAGAGAGAAGTTCTAAAGAAGAAGGAAGTAGCTGCAGTGCTTTCTCCCTGCGACAGGACTCAGAGTACAAGAAGAGCAGTTCAAACTTGTAGACACAACGTGACAATGACTGCTGATGACCCCGGGACAGCAGAGGAGACCAGCAGACCTGAGGGACTGCACTGACCGGCCATAAATGCTGAGAACTTAGTCCTCACACAGAAGAGAGTGATTAGCCAGGAGCCATCTTAGAGACAGGCTTGCTGAACTCAGAATCCAGAACTGCTGCCGGCTCCCAACTTGGCTCAGTTCTGCACAAATTACTTGGACTGCAACAAGCCCAGTGAGTGTGGCCTCGGGGCAGGCTGGCTACAATTCTCCACTGACCTACAGAAATCGGGACTCTGGCTCCACAGTTCTACTAGTGAAACCAGAGAGAACTGTGGAAGTGGCCTTTTTTCTTTCTTTTCCTCTCTTTCTCCTTCACTGTTTGATCTTGTTTTTTTAAGTGTAAATGTGGTTCCTAGCCCCTTTGTGGATGTGGTTCTGTTCTGTTCTTCCTTTTATCTCTTCCACCTCTCTTTCCCTTCAGTCTTCTACAGGAATTTCCCAAAATTGGTGTGATCACCCTTTGCCTTCCAACTTTATTTTTAATCTCTTCCTCTTCTTTATTTTCTTCTGAATCCACCACATATAATTTTCTGATTTGTTTTAGGTTTTTTTACATAGCCACAAATCTAGTTCATACAAAAGTGACGAGTTAAGAATTAGCTCTGTTTCGGGGCTGGGGATTTAGCTCAGCAGCATAAGCGCCTGCCTTGCAAGCAGGCAGTCGTGAGTTCGATCCCCGGTACCAATAAAAAGGAAAAAGACAAAAAAAAAAGAGTTAGCTCTGTTTCTCATTCTCTAGGATGTGTTTGATGTTATCGGTACCACTACAGCCAAAATTGATATAGTTGTTCTAAACAGCTGTTAGTCACAGTATTCCATGACTAAGGGTCACAGAAAATACTGTGGCACAATGCCAAAGAACCAGGGACTGGACCCAAACAAGCCACAACTTCTCATCACCCATAAACTGAAAATGTAACATCTTC